ACCCCAACACGCACACATCTAACCAACAAGAGGCCACAAAATGTTTAGACTTGCTTTTAAATACGCTACGAGACTGCTGAGCAAATAAAAAACATATGAAAAAAAAGAATAGAATATATTTCTACACTACACGAAAGCAAATAAACTTTATTGTGACAAATGTTTCATGACAGCCAACCATTTTGTTGCTGTCCTCATGTGTCATATGTGTGGAATATGTGTATCTGTGTGTGTGTGTGTGTTGAGCTAAAGGCATGCGGCTTAGCTTGACCAGGTGAGTTAATGTCACGTCAGTGTGTGTGTGTGTGTGTGAAACGTATAAATTAAAAAGGAAACCATTGTAATTATCAGAAAACATTGGAAGCGCTTGTTCTTCTCTGCCCCGTGGCACGAGATAAGTTGACAAAACTGACAAGGGTTGAGTGTTGTCAACTTAAAACATGAATACATCAAAATGCAATCGACGACTGCCACATACTCTGTGGTCAATGCCATAACAGAGTTCTGCGGGGGAGTTAGTCCGACTCTCCGGTATTTGCTTTATTTAGTAGAATTATTCTGATTTGTTTGTTTATGCAAATATGTATCAGAACATACAAAATAAAATTCCACTTTAGTGTGCGAAGTCCTTAACAAAATAATGCTTTCAGTAAACATTTCAGCAAACATTTATTCAGGACTTCAAGCTGAAAAGGCGATACTTATTTAAAAAAAAGGTTAACTAACGTAATATGGGAATTTTACAAGCTCAAGTTACCCATTTTATCTGTGGTTACAGGGTATTACTACTCGTAAATGTGTTCGTTTTAAGTTTTGCGCACCCTGCGTATACGTAATATGACCTTTCAACTGTTTTGCGGGTTCTGATTAGTATCTGTGTTGGTGTGTGTGCGCGTGTGCGTGTGTGTGGATTAACAGGTGGATCGCTGTTACACACAAAAGCCCACTCAAGTGGTATTTTAATGGCCTCACATCGGTGGCTGTTGTGTGTGTTCGTGTGTGTATCTGTGTCTGCGTGTGGGCCAATTTAAAAGCTCTTGCCAAACCATATTCAAAATTTGATACTTCAGCAACATTTTGAAGCGCGTGCGGTGAAAATGCAAAAATAATTATATCAAATACGAAATAAACTTTTTATTCAGTTTACTTGAAGAGCTCCACATTTAATATTGTATCAAAATTTTGCTGGCAATTAGGTTGAATATAAAGTCTAGGCTTACGGATTGTATGCCAGATTGACTGGATAAGAAAATGGTTTTCATACATATTTATTATTTGCCTGCATATCGCAAGGTAGCATAGTATGGACCCCCATTTGGTATGGACACCTCCCATTGTTTACACCTCTTGGCAGGCAGGTAACAAAGAACACAATCAACGCCGTCGCCTCGTCTGCTAATACCTGCATAATTGTTGTGCTAATTTTGCCAGCAGCACGCCCAGTTAATGTGTCTATTGACACCCGACTGGGAGCGGGTCATTTGGGTAGTTACAGTAAACTACTACGGCTACGGCTACGGCTACGGCTACTACAGTGTGCACTGCTTTGACATTGTTTACGCTTACTTATGGGCTTGGCTGGCTTTTACCCGGGACTCTGGGCCGCGACGGGCGACAGACCGCGTAGTCTGCATAGTGATTAAACTAATTTAATGCAGCTACAAACCACAACAGGAACGACAACAACAACGACAAGGGAGAAGGGCAGAAAAAACATTCATTTAAAACATTCAAAGTGTCGCATGAGAAGGACGTTGAAGTCGAAGTCAAACGACAGCCGTTAACGAGCTGACTTCGATAGACATGCCCCTTATACAGCCCTTGGCCCCGCTCCCCCGCTCTTACCAGTTTCATTTGTGCGGACGAATGTGTTTGGCAAAGTGGCAAAAAAAAAAGAGAGAAGGTAACAAAGTTTAGCAATAAAAATCTAAATAAAAGCCCGAGCACTGGCAGCGACACGGCGCGGCTGAACGTTGAACTAATAAAGTCATTTCTGCATGCTGCCAGTCGCGCGCCCCTCTCTCACCCTTGACACCGCCCTTTGGCACGCTAACGGGGCGTCGGCAGTGAGTTCATTAGCAGCAGCTAACATCACAAAGCCTCAGCGCGTTGCAGCTGTTGTTCTTGTTGTTCTTGTTGTTGTTTGTTGTTGCCATTTCAGCTGTTGTTATTGTTGCCCCCTAGTTTTTCGCACAGTTGCCACAGCCGCTGTTAATTATGGCTGAAACTCGAGGCGAACGCGCCGCGAGGCGTCTGCACGGCAAACGGAAAACGGCAAACAGCCCTGCTTCTGCTACGCTTAGCAGGGTCTAGTAGCGTGCAGCGCCACCTACTGGAAATTTATAAAAGTTACACGTAGATTGACAGGCAATTTGTTATTGTATTATATTGAGGTGGTTATTTGGCCGCCGCAACTAGCTCTATTGACTGAGTGGTTCACAGTGGCAGTCTCTGTGTGTGTGCGTGCGTGTGTGTGTGCTCATACGTATGTGGGCTGCGGTTTAACTGTGTGCGGTTTTGCAACAGCAACAACAACAACAATTATAACCACTTTTACTACAACAAGCAGCAACAACAAGGCGTATTCGCATTCATTAGTGCCCAATTAACCAAAAGCGGTGGCAATTATTGTAAATGCGTCGAATTAGACTGGACTCTTCAACACCTACAACTACTAGCAGTACACCTATATTGACCGCTATTAGCTGTGACCCCATGCAGGTGCTGCAGAGCAACAAAAATATACCTGACCAATTGCTGGTTATTGAATCTAATTGCTATCGCACAAGTTCATAATGTAGTTGGTCTCGTATGCTCGACTATTTGATGCCCTGCTCCTGCGTTCGCTGGGGCTATATCTTATCAGGATAAGTCAAGAGGTGCGTGTTGCGCAAAGTGGACACTGTCACGCAATTGCTTAACTTACGGTAAGCATTCCATATCGGAACATGACCATAAGCCATGTAGAACTGCAAACGGAAATAGCTGCAAGTCCGACAACACAATTTTCATTAAAATAAATACGTTGTTTAGAATGTCAGCAATGAGCTACATTATAATCATGCCAGATAAAATCTTAAAACTATATTATTTTCATAATTATTTAATAACGTGTTTTCTGCTTGTCCTGAATACTTCCTTAAAGAAACTTTTCCATTTTGTATGCCAGCTTATTTTTGGTTAAAGTTCGATAAATGTTAGGTCTATATATAGGTAAGCACTGCAATGATTCCATTCGATATCGATTTGAACTAGCGAAATGCTTTTTGAGCACAAACTGAAGTTAACACAGGAACTGGGACAAATAAAATATAATGTCATCGAGATAAAGAGCATGCTTCGCAGTGGAATTGTAACAAAGTATCCCAGCTTTACGCAGACAATCTATGTAACTATGTACACTAGTATGTTACGTAATCTTTTCCATTCTTCGACTCTCTCTCTAAACTGGCACACAATCCACACTCTCGGCTGGGTAATAAAAAACTCAAGAAAACACATTCCATTAGATTTGCAGCGGCATTCGCTAGTCATATATTTATGAATGTAGTCGCATTCGCTCGGCTACTCCCGCAGCTGGTAATAAATAATCAGAGTATCAAAATGTGTATGTGCACTACTGAGACAACATAAGAATTGAGCGGCAAGGGCTGGGGAAGGGGACGGAGAGCAAAAATAAAGAGTTGGCCCCAGAAGTAAACAGAAGAAGTTTGGCATGTTGCAAGTAGCTGGCGCCGACATTCCGACTCGTGCGCACATATTTGTGAATAAACATATGAAAAACTATCTTCCGTAACGTACTATATGATAATATTTTATTAAAGCACAAGTCAGGGGGGCGCAAACGTTAACGTAAACGATATAGCAAAGGGACTGAATACGTTATGCACACGCACACACCTACTCCAACACCTGCCCCCTCACCTAGACACGCCCCGGCAAGCATTTGTCTATTATATATTTATTGTGCCACGAACAAACTTGACGCACTTCCGACTCCGCCACACTTCTGCGCCCCGCCCTTCCCACTCTATACTCTATTTGGTGTGTGACATGCCCCGCGGCCACAGCTGTTGCTGTCCCCGCGTAGACACTTGATGGCATAGATAGCGTAACTTTGCAGAAGATGCGCTGACTTCTGCGGTTTGCCTGCGATAGGCACAACAAAGTTTTTGTCAGTTCTACCAGTTTTCTCGCCCCCTGCAAACTCTGGCTTCACGTTCGAACTTAACTTGTTGCATTGACAGGCAACTTGGAGTGCCAGTTGCGTTGTCGATTTGCTGCCACCGTGTGCTGCATGTCAAAGATAAGAGCATGTTGCAGCTGAACTTTTGTGTGGCAGGATGCGACTCCTGCGGTTATTTTTGCAAATTGGATGTAACCCAAGCAGCAGCAGTTGGTAAGCGTGCTGACAAGCTGCAGCTTCGCCACGCACATTGCAGCCCCCCACTCAATCTGGCCACAATATAAATAGCACTGATTTGTGCTCGGGACTTGTCGCCAACTACGGGCTTCCCACTATCTCCGACTGCGACTGCGACTTGCTGGCAGCCCAAAAGTTAAGCCCAACCAACCATACAACCCATTTGTTTATTATGAAAATAGAGTAGAGGTAGAGGGCGGCTGGCTGGATGTGTGCTTTGCCGTTGCTGCTGCTACTGCTGCTGGCCACAAAAACCTTAAACTGATGGCACACTTCACGTAGAGGTTTTTCGCCTCCGGCCCCGCTCAACGCTCAACGCTTACCGTTCAACGCTCGTCGCTCGTCGCTCTGTTGCTGTTGCTGTTTCGGAGCTGCATTTCCGCCTGAATGGCGCTTGTGCTTGAAGCAACTAACTGCCTGGTTGAGTGGGCAGGGGCACAAGTATGTCACCAAGCGGGAGGCCCTGCCCGGCCCTGCCCGGCCCAGCCACGTCTGTGTGCGCCGTACTTAACGTTTCAAAACTCTACTCCGTACATGGCACACTATATTGACTTTGAAGCATAAAAAGCTTTTCTGGATACACTCGGGGGTGCTCTCTTTATTACAGCCCTCTCAAATGAAGCCTTCACGTCTATGTGGGTGTGTGTATGCGTGTGTATGTGTGTGTATGTGTGTGTATGTGTGTGTATGTGTGTGTGTGTGTTTGTGTGTGCGTGCGCGCCCGTGTGTGTGCACTTGAGTGTATTCGTTTGGTTGGCCGGGTAAACTAGAACAAAGAAACGGGTTATAACCATTCAACAAACGAGTCAGTACTACGTCGATATTATGCTAGCCGGAGCCACGGCAGTGGCATTCTGTTCAGCTGCCACCACCGACGGTTGCCGTTCGGAGTCAAACAAATCGCAAAAGTCCTGCACAAAGCCCTTCAAACTGGACATGCGGCCGTGCAACTGGGTAAAGCTGCGCTCATCGAAGATTTTTAGGCATATACGATCCTCGGTGCCCTTGGTTTCCGCGGCCCGTTCAGAGTAAATGGTGCGCTGTGCCAGCAGCTTGTTGCAGTGGCGACTGCAACAGTTCACAAAGGTCACCATGTCCTTGATCAGGCTCTGGGCCAAGAGGTAGCGGCCAAGCAGCTGCTTATCATCTGGTGGCTGTGTCTCCTCGTCCTCCCAGGCTGATTGGCGCGCTTTGAAGTGGTCGACCACAAAGGCCTGGAACTTGACGCCAATGAGCTTCAGTTCCTCGGTCATGCCTTTCAGGGCATTCTGCGTTAAGTGCATCAGACCCTATATGGAGAGTAGTGATCCCTAAATATATCAGCTAATATAAATACTAATCGTATAACTCACATTCATCTCGGTCATGTAGTGCAGATGCGAATATATGCTGTAATCTGGCCACCAATCTGCCTCAGTCTCATTGTCATCCACATTCTGCGCTTCGGATACGAAGCGTGTGGAGACTACTATTCGCAGCATCTCAATCCGTGGCATCATTAGCTCTTCGATCAGGTTGCGCAGCTCGAGACTCACGTACAACGGCGAACGCTTTGCAGCGCTCTGCTCGTTCGGATTACTTTGGATTTTAGTGGGTGGCATTTTGAGCCAATGCTTTGTCGCTTATAAAAAAATGAAAATATAACTAGAGACTTTTCGAGCCGACTGGACTTTACTCAATTTGAACTCGATAAAGGTATATTCGCATTAAATTCGGGCCTTGACATTTAGGGGACGGGTAACTGAAAACTATTTTAACAAATATAAGGCGGTTTTAAAGTTTTAGCCATAACTTAACATAAAATTAACTGCCTACTATGGTTTTTGGAAGGCTAGGGTATGAAAGGCTAGTAGCTGCAATTTCTTTTAAAAAATAGAGCAACAGCTTACAATTATTATTTTAGTACAGGGTATCTGTTTGTGCAGCACTCCCGACTAGTGCATTCCAACTTTTCCAATTTAATTCATCACAAGTTAATTCTTAATTAAATAAAATATTTTAACAAACAACAAATCAAATCAAAAAAAAAATGTCCTTTAGCTGCTTTTTGATTGCGTATACGCAATGTTGGCCAGCGCATATACGTGTTTGCCATTGTTATTTTAAAACTGTCTGAACCAACACACGCGCAGGACACTAATACGAAGATAACGTGTTGGTTTATGCAAAATGCAATGTGCGCGTGTGTGTGTGTGTGTGTGTGTGTGTGTGTGTGCATTGCTTGCTTTAAGCTAATTGTTGCTGGCGCTTTTACCAAATGCTCGACACCATTGTTGCATTTCCGCTTGCTGCTCCTGCTGCAGCTCCTGTTTTTTTTACGGGCATCCAGCCCAAGTGCTTGCATAATCTACGTACTCTATATATACATATATATACATATATATATATATATATAAATTAATGTGTGTGTGTGTGTAGTCATTGTTTGTGTTTAAACCACAAACAAAAAAAAACGTCAACAAAAGCTCGCAGCTAGTCGGGATGAGCACAGATGCGAAGCCAAACGGAGCGACAGAACTTGGTGACAGTTCTGCCAGGCTGTCGGGCTGTCGGGTTGTCGGGCCTGTCGTGGCGTCAGTGGTGCAGCGGGGCAGTGGTGCAGCGGGGCGGCCTGCAAATATGTTGGTGTAACAACTTTCGAGATTTGTGTCAGCTCGTTTGAGAATTAGTCGTAGGTTTTAGCAAAATTAAAAAAAAAATCTGTCACTTTGTGTGGCGGGAATTTGCCGTCTCATTGTTCTGTCTTTGCGTCTGCTGCCACAATTATGTATATAGGCACACCCGCACACACATACACACACACACAAACACTCTCCCCCCTCTGTCTGAATAGACTTATAAATGTGTGAAAAGATTTGAATTGGGCTGGGTTCTTGTGGGGGGTAACTTAAATTATTTATGCGCCGCAAAATGTGCAAAGTAATTTATTCAGATTATATGCGAGGAACAAGGCAACAAAAAGAAAAGTAAAATAAAAAAAAAGGCCGCTTCAAATAAAACGAAGATGAAGCCCTTTTCAAACGGCCGCCAAGTGTCCAAAGTCAAGTGCACAAAATTAAGCTCTGCACACCTGCCGGATGTTTGTGCGGCATCTACCTCAACTTGGCCGTAAAATTTTATGTTGCAATAATTTAGCTTTAAAATCGCACCGTACACCCGACAGATGACGTGGGCGGGGGCGAGGGGCTGTGGCATTGTGGGCGTGTGGACGGGCAGCACCTTGGCGCACGCACTTAAACGGAAATAAAATAAAATTACAAAAAGTGGGCAACTTTTTGACGTTGCGATTGTTATCCTTGCCGCTGCTGCTGCTGCTGTTGCTCCTGTAAACGGCTGACAGAAAGTGATTTAGAAACTATGCCAATGCTGCCCTGACCCCTGCCCCTGCCCCTGCTGCTGCCGCCGCTGCCACAGTTGGCCACGCTGGGGCTGCGTTGTGGCATTTGTTTTTTGTCGACCATAAAGGTGAATTTAAATTTGGTATTTTTAGACCGTCTCGTTTTCATTTGTGCGCTGCCATAAAATATGCCATTGAAATTTGCAATTGAAATTGAAATGGAATTTGAAGTACAGCTCGTACAGCTTTTGGCAATTTGTAAATAAACACTTAATAGGCATTGAAATGCAGCTTAAATCATTATAACTCACTTTGTTGCACTCATTGCCAGTCATATGTGCCTCAGTAGCGAGTTATTTGCCGGATGTCTTCTCTGCGTGAATATGCTAAGAATGTCGGAATACCGTTTACATATTTAATGCGCTCTAACTGGCTTAATCAGCATTACAAAGTAATTACAGTTAATTCCTTTGTACTTGAATGCGTGTCACACACAAATACACACTCACACACACACAAACACATCTGGTATGCGGCATTTTTGTCTTGCCAGGATGACGCTGAGAATATTTGTAAACTGTTGCGCGGCAATTTGCATGGTTAATTATCTATTAACCTGCGCATAACTTTTATACAAACGGATGGAGGCGAGCTGCCTGCTGCCTGCTGCTGCTACTTGTAGATGTTAACACACAGGCACACACACACACGCACACTCGAAGAGGGGCGCGCGCACGCAAGACTAAAATGTATGTATATCCGTTTCCGCCTGCTGTGTCATTGTCGCTTTCGCTGTCTCTTTCCTGTTTCTCTTATATAAGTCTAAAGCACAGAACTGACAACAAGTAGAGAGGAAACGGAATGGAGGGGGCCGGGGCTTTTGGGGGAGGGGAGTGGTTATAAAAACAAGTTATGCTAATCTTAATGCGATGCCATTTTCAGTTGCCATTCGCAATTTAAAGCAGTCCTTTTGTTCTGTTGCCACTGCATGCCGTAATTTATGCTTATTAAATATTTGTGCTTAATTAAAATTTTATTTTAACTACACAACAGTTGCCTGGCACTGGCGACAGTCAGCCAACAGCTGACAAAGAGAGCTCCAGGTAAAGATCTGTGACTGGCACCGATGCCATTTAAGATGGAGTATCACCGTAATTACTTATAGCTACTAACCATAAATCCATGCTGGCCATTGACTAGGAAACTATTAATATTCGAAACTAAACTGAGACTCGAGCTCATGATGATAGTTAGCTTCACTTAAATCTGTCTGAGCTGTAATTATGCCGCAAAGTCCATTAAAAAGCTGCCGAAGTGTGCCGAAAAATTGTATTAACTCAAGAGCAGGAGGAGTGGAAGGATGCCTAGAAAAATCTTGGCATTTTAACAATTTCAGATTCCAGGTGAATTTCTAGGCATTTTCTAGTATATTGTGGCTAAACAAATACGGGAGAAAACCCTTTCTAATTGAACCATTTGGGCGTAGAAGGATACTTATAATCAATTTGAACCCTTTTCGGTTAATTTTTAAGGGGTCGCAATCATTCCCAATCGATCTACATTATTGACACATTTTTGACAAATTGCCAGGCTGCATGGATTCCGTTTGCGGGCAGTGTCCGTTTTTTGTATTTTTATATAGCAGAAACGTGTCTGGCATACTAGAACGAAACGAACTACTGGCCAAAAGGTTGCATACCTTTTGGCCTGACTGCGGTAGCAGGTCGACGGCGTGAGGGTTTTATTTGTTTGTTTTGCTCGCAATGCGAACCCTTGTCAAGTGCAACAGCCCCCGCAGCTGGCATTGCTGTCGTGCCGTGCTCTAGACGTACATTTCGGACTGCTCTCCTGGCATGTCCTTGCTCCGCTTTAGCGCCTCTGCCCTGCTGCTCTGCTGGCCTTAATTATGTGCGGCCCAAGACAAAATCAAATGCACACGCCACTCACATGTTCAGCCTAGGCACACGGCACACTCTCGGTCTCAGTCGCAGCCCTAGTTAATTGCTCGTGGCGCCACTTGACCGCGCTGCAGCAGCAGCAGCTCCTCGCTGCCTACTGGTTACGTTTGGGTTGACAGCTTAAAACTACCTCACGACATCGGCGAGCAGACAAGTCTTTACTTTTGGTCGCCTCTGGGCAACTTTTGATTATTTAAAGAGACCGAGCGACCATTGTCTGTGCTTGACCCTCGCCCGGCTTCCTGTCCTGCTTGTTTCGGTTGCCTATTTATTTGCTCACGCCTTTTCATTGGTGCGCCCCTGGCCCATGTCTTTGTCTGCCTCGCTGTGTTGTCATGCACAATCTGCCAAAGAGCTTGCTTTGATGTCCTCCTATCAGCAGTTCATCGCTCTCGACTCGTGTACTACAGGCCCTCTCAAAAGAAAAAAGGGTTCAAATTACGAGTACTGTTTCGAACCAACCTAAAGGGCGAACCAACCTAAAGGGCGAACCATTGTCAACTTGGCTTTGAATCACATTCCCCTGCGACAGTTGAGATATTTCTGTTTATGGCAAATACATTTGTTCTAATAATCTGGCCAAACTTAAATTGTAGAAACACAGATTTCTTTAAAATGTCCTTCACCAAATCTAAAGCCTAGATATGACTAGCTATATATTTATATAAGAAACATGGACTGCATGTTTTCTGCGCTGCTGAAATTGTTTATAGTTGTCAATTACCTGGAATCCCTGTGGCCACCAGGTAATTGTGAATGTCACGCCTTAGCGGGGGGAAGGGACAAACGAAAGGAACAAGGACCGACGATTCACGCCCCAGAAATGCCACATCCAGCTACTTAATTTCCGTTTCTAGTGAATTTCTTTGCGGCTAATTTTGTTGCACAAGCACACACACACACACACACACACCCAGACAGAGTGGGGTGGTCTTAAAAGCTGAACTGGGCCACTCACACAGTGGCAAATATTTACGTGAATGTGAATACACATACACATATAAACTTGTATATGTATAAATGGATTTTTACTGCTTTCTGTTTTCGCTGACCTGTCGTATGCCTGGCGCTTACTTTTGTTCAACCGAATCAAACCCAAGCAAAACAAGGAATTATAATCCTGTCGAGAGTTGGCGACTAGAAAATACTCTTGTGTGTATAAATTGTGTGTATAACATATAAATTTACAATAATTCTTGAATCTTGCTCCCTTATGAAATAGGTAAAGGTATCCAAAAAGGGCTATGTCCTATATACTTGATACTTTTAAGCTAAATGAAAGCCTAAATGATAAATTTGTTGTTTCTTACCCCCAATATTTTTATGATATTGTGAAAAGCCTGCAGCGGGGAATCGATATGTATCGATCTTCAAGAGATGCGAGTAGCTATTATACATAAAATTTGAAAATTTACATACATTTTCAAAATTGTCCTATACCCTGCTTATAAATGCATTTTCAATGGGTGGAGGCTATAAAAAAATATGTCTTAATGTCTCCACTCAGCAGAGCAACAAGCTGCAGGTTCAAGCCGTTGCTAGAAGAGAAAGAGACGGAGTTAGAGAGAGAGAGAGGGAGTGTGAGTGAGAGTGAGAGAGACAGCAAATTGGAATGGAACAGAGCAATGTTTATTGGCGGCCATTTAATGCAGTGTAGTACGTGTGTGTTACGCTCCTGTAGCTCTGTTGTCCTTCCCTTCCCCCCTCTCCCCCTCCCCCCTACCGCTCTTCACTTTCAATCCTTTCCCACTGACAGGGGCCGTATGCTGTTGAGCGTTGAGCATATTAAGCCATTCTGAAAGCCGATTGCACGCTTTTAACCCGAAACTCAACGGCTCGACGTCTCAGACAGAACTTTTAACTGGGATGCATAAAAGCTGCACGGCCATTACTATCAGTTACAGTCTCTCCAGGACAACAACAACAACAGCAACAAAAACAACAACAATGGCTGCGATGACTGCTGCCATTGTGCTTGGCCTGCACTAGTATTGCCAGTGAACCAGTGAGTGTTTGCTGCCATTTTTATTTGAAAGAACCCGGAACAGGGTTTATGGCAAATGTGCATTCACTTGCTCTCTCTCTATCTCTCTCCCCCTCTCGCGCCCTCTCTTTCTTTCGATAACTGACTGTGTTTGTGCAATAGCATCGCATTGTCCGTGTTCCATTGTCTCGCTGCTAGGGCCTGTATCGTCTGCGGTTAGCATTTCTATAGACCACTGATAGCAGTGCCCCCGACTCGCTCGAGGCCCTCTCATTTTCCAGGTAAATCTGTTATGTGTAAGTCATATTGTGTACTTATGTGTAATGGCGAAACCCCCGCCCATTTTCCGTTTCTCTGTGTCACGGACTTCCCTCGCTCTTTATGAGCGAAACTGAAGAGGAAATGCCGCGCACATTAGGTGCGTGGGCAGCATGTGGCAAGTGGCAAGTGCTATTAGAAATTAACATTAATAATTAATTTCGATTTGCAGCAATTACAATTGCCATCGACAAGAAATGCTACCGCGCTGCATTAGCAACAGATTTATGTGCGCATTTATTCAAATTGATTGATTTATTATACATATTTATTGATGCATTAGTTGCCTAAGGGCCAGGTTTTATGGTGTGCTGCCGCTTGGCTATAACGTTACAATAATTTTTAGAAACGCATTATTAATAATCTGCAAATCTGTCCAAGCTTCTATACAAACGTATTCTATGCACAGGGCTATTTAGAAAAAATCTATGTCTATGGCAATCCGGATGCCATAGCAATTCAATGCATGTCGCCCCCAAAGCCCACGGTGGCTGTGCCCACGGTAAGTTCAACATTTTCAGCTCCAATTCAGGTTCGTTCAAATGGTTTTAGTTCAAAATAAATTATTAAGCAGTCAAAACAGTTTTAAGGCTTCAAATATTAGATTGAAAACAATTTAGATTTAGTTCGACTTGGCTAGTAAGGTCCCTAAAGTGTAAACTAATTTAATATTGAACAATAACTTAGTTAAATGATGAACAAAATATGGATTCATTAGTGTTACATTAAGTTTTAAGGCTTCTTTCCCAATTTGAGTTTAATATGATTGAAGAGTGTATTTTAATTAATTTTGAATTTATCCCATTATCCTTTTTTTTACCTATTGCCCCATCTTATTAATTTGATTTCCATTTCGAAGGATTTGGAGAATGAGCTTTCGACCGAATCAGATCCTGAACTCTTAGCTGATCCTGAACAAGAAATGGTGTGTTTTTTCCCATATTTTTATTATTTCTCCTATTTTGTGTTCTTTTTTTTACGTTTTATTTATTATTTTATTTGAACTTTATTTCATGTTGAATGTCACGAAATGCATTCAGAATTCACCACCCGATGAGCCCGTTGTCGATGAGAATGATATTACAAACGAAGGGTGGTGGTCCTCAGCAAATATTGAGGTTAGTTTTTAATCAGATATAAGTTAACCAACTCGAGACCAGGCCAAGCAATATTCAATTAGATTTCCATAGAGCCCTGCTCCACATGGTATTTCGATGCGGTTTATTGCAGTCGCCGTTGCAGTTGTAGTTGCAGTTGCATGCTGAGCAGCATTTATGGGCATGGCAACAAAAGCTATTTGCATTTTGAGTAAATGCGTTCTCAATAAGCCAACGTCACTTACATCTTCTACTTGTTCTATTTCCATCACAGGCAACTGACATTTTCGACGACAGTGGTTTGCAGGCCCCCGGACAGACGCAGTTAACGCACGAGAGACGTAAGTTCACCTGATGCTGGACTTTGTCCGGATTTTAATTAGGCAGCCTGCTAATGGAATGACTTTGCTTTTGCTTTTGCGTTTGCTACTCTCTCTCCCGCAGCATATCGCGGCATCAAGGGCGAGAAGGGCGATCGAGGACCCAAGGGCGATAGTATACGTGGTCCACCTGGGCCGCCCGGTCCGCCGGGTCCCAAAGGTGAAACACCATCGTATCCGCCCTTTGTGGAGACACCAAGTGCGGGGGCTGTAAGTATAAAAGTCGACTTGGCACTTATTTTCTGACTTTGCAAGTGCACAGAGACAGTGCCCATTTATTTGCGCACCAAACGACAAAGCAGCTGGATTCGAAGTGGTAGCCAAATCCGTAACTCTGGTGATTCCAAATTGGCAAATACCAAAAACCCGTCTGTGCACTTGCAAAATCTTTCAGTGACTCGAGGAGGACTCTGTCTAGATTAATTCGGTTACAGCCTGGTGATTCAATGGCATATTTTTGTATCAATTGCAGAAATACACTGGCGAATGTACATGTAATGCGTCTGATATCCTGGAAGCCTTGAAGGACAATGAAACGATACGCGAAACGTTGCGCGGCCCGCCCGGTCCGCCGGGCAGAGATGGAAAGTCTGGAGCCCCTGGACTTACCGTAAGTACCAGCGACTACTTTATACTTAGTTTATACAAGCGCAACGGGTTGGAAGGCCAAAATGGCAAAAGTCAATATTTGATATGGATTAAACGCATTTTCAATTTCATGACACACATCTTCTAATCTTGAAGAGGAAGAGAGCATGGCAATAGCAGTGCGATGGTTATCGCCAGCTGGTTACACACACGCACACACACACACACATACACACACATACGCAGAAGCACACTTGAATGCGCTGCGCTCTTAAAGCAAGTCAAACATCATAATTTGTGCGTGTGTGCGTGCGTGTGCGTGTAACCGGAAACGAGGCAAAACGTTAACGTGCAAGCAGGAAACGAAAATTTCTTTATAACTTTGCGCTCGCAAACGGCAGGCAACTCAGGCTTAAACACTTATCCACTTTGGGCGCTACTCGTTATATTATCTCATCAACTGGCAACGTCTTTTGAAACCAAAAGGAGTTGTATCTATCTAACGGCACAAAGAGACTACTCTCTCCCTCACCCTTTGACTCTGGGTGCCAGTTGGTGTGTGTGTGCGTGTGTGTGTTCGGTTAAAGGCTAAGTCCACTATGCTGTTGGCCTCAACATCCACTCAACTCAGAAGTGCCTGCCACGCCAAAGAGCCAAAGAGACTCGTAACTTTTGTGGGTCTAGCCAAAAATATGAAATCTGTTCAAACGTTGCGTCTATGTTCGCATATAATCTCGTAGCCTTAGGCTCCTGCAAATGCATTTTTATTTTGGCTCAGTCAAAGACAACACTTTGCTTAGTCTCTCGAAAAAAACTAAAATGAAAAGAAAAAAAATCTGTACTCATTCACAATGTGCTTAGCAACCTGTGGAACGCAGCCTCTTCAATACGTTGCAATATATCAAAAGAAAAGCGGTATGCAAAACATTTTGGTGGCTAACAACAAACAGCTCTGAGAATATGCCAGCTCAAAAATGCAAAAATACCCAAAAGCTGACCCTCTATAGTACAGTCCTTGCCCGTGCCCAAAACCCTTCAGACAACCGAAATGCTTGAGTAAAATATGGCGAACTGGTGCGCATACCGGAAATTCCTGCGACAATTTTGTTGCTCTACTGCTAATCCCTTAACTAATAGCAATTAATTTAAAAGACGACGATAAGCAACAGAACATTATGGCAATAGCAACAACTGCCTGCCACTGAAATAACAATGTACAAGGGACAACGGCAACACGAACAATCCGATGGCGAACAGAACACGCAAATGGCGCACAGCGTGACCATTTTGCATAAGATTAAGGACATCGGGAGACACATTTTTTGTGCAGCCAGACCACAAACACAAAGCTAAGACCCACTCCCCAACTCCTGCCATTCCCTGCTATTGAGCCTGGGCAGCTGGGCCGCGTAGATTAATGAGCTCGGGCTAAAACGCGACGATTATGTAAATCGACCGCAGCCAGTTAAAAGCTACCAACTGGCCAGCAGGCCCCCAAATAGTTTCTAGACTATATATATACCCTATATATACGTAGCTATAACCGTGGCACTAGATGCAGACATTGCCGTAGACGTAGCTGTAGTCGTACATTCTATATGCACGCCCACTAATGTGATTTATTTCTTGGTCGCCGGCGGCGTCGTTTTTTCTTGTCTCTTCCCTTTTCTTTTTTTTTTTTTCTTTTCATTTGCAGGGTGCCACTGGCGTAACTGGCGCTCGCGGCCCGGAAGGTCTGCAGGGGGAGAAGGGCGAGCCAGGCGTCGACGGCATGCCCGGAGTGATGGGTCCGCCCGGACCTCCGGGCCCGCCTGGCTTGCCGGAGAGCTATGATGTGAGTACAACTTTAATTCTATTTAAAAATAATTATAAGAATATCACAAGTAGAAATTGTCGTACTTAACACAATTATCTTTTCATTATATTAACGTTATGTTCTTTAAGTTGATTTTATTTCTAATCTTTTTGTTAACTTTATTATCATCAACATATTTATTTGTCACAGGGCTGCAACAAAACAAAAATTGCCAATGATTCGGTTCCCGCTTCCCCCCATCTTCCTGACTCAATGGTTAGTTTTTCCTTTTTTTTTTTAAATTTTAATTTACATTTTAATTTTTAACTCATATTTGCCCGTTGTGCTGAAAATATTGTAAGCTGAACATATTTTCATATACAAGATTCGGGCTACATTTTATTTTTACCCAAAATTGGCATATGCCAATATGGTTGAAATTTATCCCAATATAGTTTTATCTACTAAAAAGAAAATGGTTCGCTTGTTAAAAAACTAATTTGAATTCCTGGTTCGAACCGGCTTGGTTCAGAACTCCCTTGCAGCTTTTTTTGTTCTTTATTGCACGTCTATGAAATGCATACTAATATTTTTGTGCTCTCATGTTAAAGTTAATAATATTTAATTTTAAATGAATATTTTTTATTCATTTTTTATTCATGAAAAGAAAATGGTGTTGGATAAACAAAAGAATACCACAACTAAGTCTCTTAATGCCTTGTACTAAAAAGGTTTCTTGCTAAATTGCAAAATAAATATGAAACTGAAACTTTTAATCATACTTTTTGACTAAAGGCGATTCAGTTTTGTCCGTAAGTCTAATCGGATTTCTGAGTTCATAACATTTAAGCCTCCCAACTTTGGTACAGGGTATGTTCTAGTCGTTTAATCTCGACTTGCAACTTATAATTTGTAACAATTAACATAAATAATTTATAGCTCTTGCTTTCTGGCTGACTGAATACGAGGATGAGAAGGCAAGAGTATCAAATCTTCGGTAACCCGAGGATCGATTTTTTTTTAACTTGGCCCAAAAATTGCAACTTTTACGGTAGACCTCAAAGGTAAAGTCGCTCGTCCGTTTATCTATATCCGACGGATGCTACCAATCACGCACGTTTCTTTTATGAATTGTGTGCCTTGAAGGCACATTTCGGGCGGCAGACATCGGTCATGTTTGGTCAGCCACACACACACACACACACACACACACGCACACACAATTTGCCTAAACCAATTTCCTGCCTAAGGAGGAGGCACGCTGCGCGCGGCGAGCGATTGCTGCACCTGTACACTGTGAAAAATTGCTGGCCAGATTTGGGCATGGCAGGTGCCCAGGACGCGTTCGCGTTGTCGCAAATGGGTTATCTGCGCTAATAATCTTAAAACCACAAAGCAACAGCAATAACAACGTCTCGAACAACATGAACATCTCGCAGAAATGCCGAAACCTAAGTGTCCTGAACACGCAAACCGAAACAAGCCAAGCCCAGTCTCAGTCCGCTTCTCCGACTCCGTCTCACTCCAAGACCCGGTTCCAGTCGCTGTCGCTGTCGCTGTCTCCCTGCCCCCGGCTACCCTCTGCTCTCACGTGGATCCCCCCTTTGGCGACGTGCTATTGCGGGCTTGTGATTCAGGTCTTACGGAGTGCTGGCATGCCAGCTTGTGGCAATTACTGTTATCAGCGCATGGCGCGCAGTTCACGCGGTTAAACGCGCTAACACGCATACAGATACTGAGTCACACACACACACACACCACCACACACACACACCAACACCCACACACATTTGTATTGCCGGCTTTTAACCCTTTTCTGCAAGCGAAAGTTTTATTTTTTTGCCGGCTTTATCATCGCATTTCAACGCCGTATGTTGCCTGCTTGGGCGTATCTCAGCATGCTGTCTATGTGTGTGTGTGTGTATGTGTGTGCGCGTGTGTGTGTGATTGTGTGTGTATGTGCGGTTGTGGTCGTAATCATTATCGCGCTGTTACGGTTATGAGAGTGTCAAGCTACTTATGGCTAACGCGCCAGTTAAATCAGACGCTCGCACAGTCAGCCTCCCATTGTTTTATGTCGCTCGTCGGCGGGGGTTTATTATCATTATCGCATTGCTTGCTCATAGGGGGAGGGGGATGGGGGCGGGTTCGTTTTTAAAGGCGTTTCAAATTGTTGTTGCTCTTATTGTTGTCAAGCATTTTGACCTTGTCGCAGCAAATGCGCCAGGGGAGAACAAAAAAGCTTTTAAGTTTATTAGAACGACTTCTGATTGTTGACACGGAGACAACTTTTTCAAATGTTTTCCGACGAGCCTAGACGCTTGACTGCGAATGGGGTGAAGAGGGGGGGCTAAGTGGGGGCGAGGTAAATTTGTAAAAGTTGCAATTTTACAGCCAGTTGATGAACTTTTGAACACCATCAAATTGAAATCATATAATAATACGCTTTAATTCCACGCCCATTGTTCTATGCTATATATATTATATACAAATCGTACCACAAAAAAAATATGTATTCTTGTAACAATCAACACATAAATAACAGATAAATTGGAATCCTACCAGGACTTTCAAGGTATAAACATTTAACCATTTCATTTTATGTTCCCACTAATAAACAAAACGAAACAAAAAAACCATAATAATACAAAACAAAAGCACAAGTTTGCGCTGGGTAAGCAATGGCCGCATAATCTAATGGACTAGAACCCCTCGGCGTCATTAGAGTTCTAAGCATTAAGGAAGCCACACACACACACACACACAGACTTACGCCCAAAAAAAGGGGCGCATCAGATCATTAATCAAATTTCCTTAGCAAATATGTATGTGTTTGTGTGTGTGTGTGCAAAACTACGTGTATTCTTGTGTGGGCCAGTTGTGGCATCAAAGGTCGCCCGCTGCTTAAAAAATGGCCCAAAAATACATGTATCGAAAAATAAATTGTACAACAAGCAAATATTTAACAAATTACTATGCTTACCTTCTATTTCCCCTCCCACACACACTCACACACACAACAATCACACAGGAATCCCTAATGGGCAACTCAATGGGCAGCCTACGCAGCTCCACCTCCAGCCAGGCAGGACCTAAAGGAGCGACCGGCGATAAAGGTGAGCCCGGACGTCCAGGAGAACGAGGTGAAAAGGTGAGTCAAAGTTCAATACCAGCGCTTGTCCGGCAAATATTTCCCTATATAAATATATACAAGTGTGTGTGTGAGTGTGTGTGCGTTTGTGTTAAGCTCTTTATGCATTATAAAATGGGCGACCAACATTGTTATGTCAAATAATAACTTCTGGTCTATTGATTACCCAATTATTTTCGAGGCTAGAAACATAAAATGGGCAATGACTGCCAAGAACAAACGCAAAATGTGGATTAATATACCCGATGTCATGTTGCGCTCTTTTCCATATGCCTTTGGGAGCAGCTAGAAAAACATGCGAGAAGATTTATGTGCCGGCTTCACACTTGTCATATTTGTACTTCAATTCCCACTAAGTGGCCATCATTTAGCTGAAATTCTCAGATTTATTGCACTGCATTCATTTGCGTGGTCGGCAGTCCATAAATTGACGCATAAATTTCTATCAGGCCACATACGAGAGCGAGAATGTCGCATTATTTGTTGCCTTCGTCCGGGACAATTTGTAAGCGTTTATAGCTCATTTGGTTGCCAGTTGATATGATCGAGGTGCTTCCTAGTTTATTAGAAATCGTTTACTAAAGTCCCTCCCCCTGCCCCTGCTGCTCCGACAGCAGTCAACGGGCAGCTCTTCTGCTACTACTTGTATTCTGTATTATTTTTATAATAAGTTTTGGCCATTTGTGCAGCTCATCCTGCTTAGATGGCGCTTACTTCCCTGCCATTACGCTTCATGCTATTTAGCAGCTTAGGGACCGGGATTCCCAGAGAGCTTCTGCTCCTGCTTGACCCCTCGTTAGCGAGGGTCGGCGAGCTGGAAAAAGTGGCGCGCATATTTCTTTTATGTGGTGCCTCAAAACTTTAAGCTGCCAACACATACTCTCTGGCATATAACATAATATGTTTGTAGTTTTTGTGGGCGGCGAGGGGCGGGGCGCTTGTCGCACGTGGACAGGAGTTGAAGCATGACGGAGGAATGGAGGAATTGTAGACTGAAACTGGGCGTTTCATGGATTGTCAGCCAACTTCCGGTGCTGAGGATTGCTGCTGTTACACCTCCAATTTCGGTGTGTGAGTATGTCAAGATTTATTTGACCTTTGATATATGTATATGTAAGTACATATACATATATTCTTATTTATTTGGCCAGTGGCAATGCTTTTTGTAGGCCTTGCTTTGGTTCAATCTTTGCTTGCGCCACGCCCCCTTGGCAGGCACTCGTGAACCATATTTAATCGGGCGTGAAATAAAAAGAAATTATGCAAAAGCCGTGAGCTTCTGAAGCTGTATAAAAATCGATTTCGATTTTCTGATCAATTCACGCCCAATTTACGGCCACGCACACAAACACATTTGTTATTGCATTTAAATTTTCGAAACTAATATTGAAATTAGCATTTTGAACGTATAAATGCACGCACAATTAGGTACATTTCATTTAACTCAAAAGACATGTCTGCAGCTCCTCGCAGCCACAGTCCACAGCCCTAACGCGATTCGGGCCTCCATTCAAGACAGCCCCGGAAGCAACCGCGCGTACTTTGTAATGTTGCACATGTGTATGTGTGTGTGTGTGTGTGTGTGTCTGTGCGTAGGTGTATTTTGGGGCGTGCGGGAGCTTATTAATTATTCATTAGTTCGCATCAAGCTGCCAATATAGAGTAAGGCCTGCAGCAAACAGCACATACAGGGTCAGGTCAATTTAAAGCGGTCCCACACACGCCAAAAGCGCTCATCTCAAGCCATATACAAAGCCCCAGACTACAAATCCAAACACACAGCCCAACACCAACCCCACCACGTAAACTGCGTGTAGGCGCGCGCAAATTTATGGCAAACCATTTAAGGCGCTGATGATGTGGAAGACGACACTGGGGATAAATCGGGAGCACTTGGTTGAGCAGGGGCCTGGGCGTGGGCGTGAGGAGGGGGGCTGGGGCAAAACTGAAGACCGCCAGCCGTTTTGCAAACTCCGCAAGGCAATGTCCCAAAAAGCCCAAAAAGAAGTACACATAAGCAACAGCGTACAGGGACGCTGCGATTCCTCGATTTCTCCACGGTTCGACTATAATATACCCGAACAGTGTCAGCTGAGGAGCTAAGGATGAGAGGTATCTTCTGTTAAATATAAAGACACTGTGAAATGGAAGGTAGGGCGTAGTAGTCTGTCGGACTAACCATATAAATATTTCAAGTCGTAGACAAGCCCATCTTTAAGAATGATTCCAAAGAATCTTGTGCATCTATTCTATAGAAATAAGAAAATTTGGCAAAATTTGGCAAAACAGGAAATTTTCCCCTTTCAACTAAGAAAACTTGATAAGAAAACAAGCGCATTACAAGCATAATATATCGCCTGATAGCTTTTGGGTTCGGGTACAAAGAGAAACCCGTGGGTTCGTCTCTTGGCAATGGTTTTGTGTTTTCGGGCTTGTCACCAAGCATTGCATACATTCGGGCGCATAAATTTATATATGTGCGCATGTGTATTGGTCGTGTGTGCGTGTGAGTTGGTTTGATTGTGGGGATTGTGGATTTTAGAATTGATTTGATTTCAAAATGAGTTTGAATTGAATTTTTGCCGAGGACAAAACGTTTGAAATTGAGTTTTACGGTCAAATTAGGCGTGAGTGCGCCCCCTGGGCCTGTATCGTATATTTAATACCGTAAATCATTTTACACACACATCCCTCTACTCTCTCCCTTCTAACGCCAATAACAGGGTCACAAAGGTGCGCATGGACCCGCTGGACCCAAGGGTGAGCCCGGCGCTCCTGGCCTACCCGGATTGGCTGGCCAGCCGGGCGATGGCAACGGCACCAAGGGCGAGCGCGGCGAAAAGGGCGAGAAAGGCATGCGGGGCAGACGCGGTGGCACCGGCGCAACCGGACCAATTGGACCACCCGGCAAACCAGGACCCATGGGTGATATCGGACACTCGGTAAGGCACTCGTAACTTTTGCATCCATATTCATGAGGCGGCTCAACTTTCACATGCCTGCGCCCATTGTCGGTGTCGCTCGCTAAGTTCACTTAGAGCCAGACGGAGTTTCTGGCCGCAATCGCGAGCTAGACAGTATCCGTAACCGAATAAGAAGAAGAGCAACAGCGGAGACGGAAGACGGGGCCCAACTTGGCGAAATCAACTCAAACGAAAAGTATTTTAAGTGCATTTTCATCACGGTTATTCAGGACGCTGACGCAGCGCACGATTCCAATTGCAGTTACCCTAGAATTTCAGTTTCAGCCATTATTCTGCAATAATAGCAGCAGCAGCAGCAGCGGCGGCAGCAGCAGTTGCAGCTGCAGCAACAACAACAACAACAACAACTATTACAATGGGTAGTCTGATATAAAGGGAAAAGTTTGCTTTGGCTGTCTGCGCGTTTGCCAACTGGCATCGTTTACCGCCTCTCAAAATCAAAGTCAAGCAATGTATTTACATGAATTGCCGCACCGAAATGAAGCCAAACGAAACTTTGACTCAATTCCTGGCACTGCCACACGAGGAGCAGCAACAACAACAACAAAGAAACAACAACAACAACAACAGGAAGGCATCAAAGCGCTGCAACTACCAAATTGTTGCACTCTAAACTGCAAAAGTTTTGCCATTTTTGGCGATTGTTCAACTTGGTTTTTATGCCCGAGTTACTCCACTTGTTAGTAGCGATTCCTGCCAGCCGTTAGTCCCTGCCACATGCTTCCGCTTCGAATTCTGTTACAGTTTCCAGTGCCCAATCCTTTCGCTACGAAACAAATATTTGGCCATCATTTATGAAATTCTTGTTTGTAGGGACGCCCCGGGATGATTGGACCTAAGGGCGATACGGGCGCCAAAGGCGTCAAAGGCGACTCAGGTGGACGCGATGGCGTAAGTAGTTTTGTAGTTAATTTCTTAGCAAATTCTTGCTCAAGCCTCTAACCATGTCCAGGCCAAAGGTGAGAAAGGTGATCGGGGCAGCGACGGTCGTGACGGCTTGCCAGGCCCACCTGGACTGCCGGCCAGCACAGGAGCTGGCGATGGTGACAGCAGCGGCGTCCAGTATATTCCAATGCCTGGTCCGCCAGGACCGCCCGGGCCGCCTGGCCTGCCCGGCTTATCGATAACTGGACCCAAGGGAGAAGCAGGCATGGACGCGCGCAGCAGCTTCTTCGGAGACGCCTCCTACTACGGTCGACCAGGTGAGCCAGTGGCAGCTTTCAAAGTGCCCAGAACAAATTGTATATACAAACATATATGTATAGTTAGGTGCCCGTACTTGTGCCATGAATTATGACTGTACATATGTACCCGAGACACACACACCCGTAAACACACACTAACACACACCCGTACACACATATAAGTAACTAGCATTCTCCCATACCGACTATGAAATCAATTCCAAATCATTCTGTATTGTACTCGTAATCAAGGTGCGCGCTCATCTTTAGACGAACTTAAAGCACTGCGAGAGCTGCAAGATCTGCGCGATAGACCCACAGATGGCACAGCTGGTAAACCATCAAAATCAAATCAAATCAATCCACCAAAATTGCCGTAGTGATATTTATTTTCTTTCTTTTGATGTTGCATGCCAAACTAGTCCTAAACATTCTTGCTGTGCGTATACACATTTCACGCCCATCACGACCTTGGCATGTCTCAAGTCTAGGGTGGTATACGGGCTCATTATTTGCACATCATCATCATCATCTCATTTGCGTTAATGAAGTACCTGTAAACATTTTGTTCAACATTTCAACATAGTCATGCTTTCACTTACCAAAAACAAAAACAAAAAATAGAAATACAAAACACGAGAATGAATGAGAATGAAAATAAGCTGTACAGATTATAAATGGTAAATACTTATAAGCGCGTGTGCTCAAGCATGAGATACCCTATGAAAGTAGCTTTGCTTCCGTTAGAAAGATTTATCGTAAAGTTGCTTAAATACAATTTATGTCCTAACAGGATATCTCGGAGTCGCACACGTTTTCTATTTGTACTTAGATCAAATGTATTTTAGATTTCTTGTATCCTCAATACTTATTCATTTTATATTATTAACTTCACATGCAATTATATGTATATTATATATCTTTTCCAATTGTTATATGCATTATAGGTAAATGGAAAAAGTTGTACAAATGACATTACTTTTGATATTATTTAGAGTAGTTGCAGTATTGATTTTACTTAGCAGCACACACAGATTTTAATGCAGTTGCATATGTGTACAGATATGCACATTTATACTTGGACTTAGTTTAATATAAATCGTGGTTTAACACGCATGTCTCGAAATCATCATTTGCAGAGCCACCGCGACAGACGGCGCACTCACACAAGCACGAGGAGTCGCCCCTGGGCATTGGCTTGGGATTGGGAGATGGCGAGGAGCTGCCATACTTTTCCGCATCATCATCGAACATGAACATGAGAATCGTGCCAGGTGCAGTTACCTTTCAGAACATAGACGAAATGACAAAGGTGCGTTGCCCTACACACACACACACACACACACACACGCTCTCACACTTACGCGTGTGTCCATATATATGAGCGCATATATTTAGCAGCGTATTTTTTTAAGCATATTTAAATTTGGTTTTTGTGACGTTCCACAGAAGTCCGCGCTCAGCCCACCCGGCACCCTGGCGTACATTACCGAGGAGGAGGCGCTGCTCGTGCGCGTCAACAAGGGCTGGCAGTATATAGCGGTAAGTGAAGCTCTGGGCATGGGCATGGGCCTGTGCCTGGAAATGGGATTGGGGCTATTGGGATCGAGATGGGATTGGGATTGGGCCCAAGCAAACAAGTGCGGCCCGTGCGTGCGTTCGCAAATGCCAAATATGGCAAACGAAAAGTCGCTGGCGGACGCTATTATTTTATAGAGCAGCCTTTGGTGTTGGCCCAACCCATCCATTGGCTGTTTTCTATATATTATGAAAATATGGCTCGGCAAAACAAAACAAAAAAAAAACAAAGCACAACAAAGTAAAATGCAATAAAAATAGAAAGAAGAAGGCTGGGCTGAAAGACGTTCGACGTGCATACGTTTGTTTATTTAGCCTCTTGTTTTTGGCCATAAAATGGGGTTTTGTTTGGCTATGTCCTTGTCTGGGCGGCTGCTCCTTGGGGGTTTTTTATTTGCACATTTAATGTTGCAGACGTTCTGACTGATTGCCAACGGATCGGCAACATGCCCCGAACCGTGTGTGTCCCGTTATTCAATTATATTGACTCGCGCCTGGCTTTTCACTCAGGCGAGTTAACGATACAACAAGAATTCCGAATTGCGCATTCTTAAGCCATCAGCCGTAGGAAGTGGCGCCTCAAGCTCGTAATATTGTCGCACGCCCGATGGACAGACAGATGTCAGCCAATTCGAGTCAAGCTAACTTGCCAGAAGACAGTCGCAAAAGCAATCGCAAAATCAGTCAGCAGCTGCGCTGCACAACGAAAAATAATATTAAACAACAACAAACGAAACTTTTATTGGCAAGGAATAAAACATGCATTTACTTGGATCATAAAACGCAAGTCTAGATTAAATATATGATTAGAAGGAAATTGAATATTTGTACTCAAATGGCGCTGATCAACCTTAGCACGCTGCAGCTTCAAATTGGCAAACTTCATTACTCAACACTGTCAATTAATCTTGCCTGTCGACAGTTTTCCAGTCCCAGCTGACGGTACAATGCTTCCAATTTGCCCTGGTCAGCACTTGTAGAGCATACGAGCAAAAAGAAGTTCTTGAAGCGTCCACAAATTACACGCAGAATTGAACCATTTTGCAATAGCTTGTTACACATTAAAGTGGCCACAATTTGTGAGCAGCTTTCGGTCCGGTGGGTTCGAGATTTGTGGCAACGCTTTATTAAAAAAAAGTATTGCATGATTTTTGGGGCGCCTTATTGTGCAGAGTGTAGCACAATACATATGCTCAAAACTGTTCAAGATTCGATTTCCGCTTCCGTTGTTGCATGCACAAAGCCAATACCGACAGCTAGCACAGCATGGGCCGAGGGCGTGGCCAGCCCACACACCAACTGGTTACTGTGCCTGGCATGTGCATACCCACAAGAAGGCAAATGGAAATGAGCAAGGCTGCGGGTAATGCGGGGAGAGTGCAGGGAGGAGTCGCAAATCGCATGCCTTTGACGGCAACATTTAAATACTTTTGGCAACAAAACGTGCATGATGGGGCTTCCTTTGAATAATGTCGGTTAAATCAACCAAAAGCTCATTGCCAGGGCTTTTATTTCCTTGCCAGAGCCTGGCATCTGGCTGTCTGAGCTACTTGCAGCATCAGTGGTGACATTCGCGTCCTAATTAGATTTCAGTACACTAGTCAACTACTTAAAGTTCAAAATAGTAATTAAAACTTTTGTCAGACAGCGGCGCACAGTGTCTCGCATTCTATTCACAGTTTAGCCAAAAATTTAATGCCTAATTATTACAAATTACATTGAGAAGAAACTTTATTAAATTAAAGTTTTACTTAATAATAATAACAACGAATTTGATTTGTAAAGTTCGCAACCAGACAGTAAATGCTCAAAATAGACTGCTCTTTTATTCATTTATGGAAAAAGGTTTCCTTCATTTATGAAAATTAAACATTTTTGCTTCTTATTTTGGGCTGAAAAAGTTGTATTTTTATTTAATTATTAAGTACAGATTCTGAACAGAAAGAAGTCGTGAATAGGATAGATTTTTTTATAGAATGGCGCTTATTACAAATTGCCGAGACAATTGTTTAAACATGAAGTACCTAAACTGCGTAAAGTTCACCTGCTTCGGGGGCAGTGGTATGCCGGCGAGCAGATTTCCCGCGTAGCCTATAAAATATTAATGACCATGTTGGCTAACTGCTTTTGCTTTTAATCCAAACTTTGCCAAATTCATTATAAACCTTTTATTTACAGCTGGGCACCTTGGTGCCAATTGCAACACCAGCACCACCCACCACAGTGGCGCCGTCCTTGCGCTTTGATTTACAATCGAAAAACTTGCTGAACAGTCCACCCCCCTTGCTCAACACGCCGACGGTAAGTGCTTATTATGTTGTCATATACCATCTAACCCATGCACTCGTATATACTAAAAACATATTTGTGCTTTGAGTCCATTTAAAAGCGAGTGGGCTGCTTGTGCAGCTGGAATTGCGTTTGTGAGGTGTCCAAATTAAATGCTTTACAAATATTTCAAATAATTTTTGGCCATTCATGAGGCAATATCGCTGCATAAGTGCCGCTATCATGCCAAGTGCCTCAAGTGCAAAACTATTCACAAAACACGCAAACTCAATTACAGAAAATAGCTCGACACTCGATAGCCTTAAATTGTATAATTAATATCAAGCCAAAATTTAAGCAATTCAGTTAATAAACACTACTAAAACCATTTATTATTAATTATTATTAAATGCAGTTTACAACCGCGCCCGAGTACGAAACGGTAATTAAATAAAATATCATACACTGAATGCACACAAAGAGAGCAAACAAAAAGCAAAATAATACTAAATCGAATTAACGCAACTCTTGCACACACACACACACACACACATCTATATATATATAGATATATATTTAATCTGATTTTGGTTTGGTTTGGCCAATGAAAACGTTTCTAATTAGTGCAAATTGCAATTTGAGTTCTGCTCAGTAACGTGCAGATATATTTGTGTAGCTCCCTTTTTGAGTTTCTATTATAACTATCAATTATTTATTTAACATTTATTCTATGTTCATGCTGAAATCTATATCAGTAATATGCTTTTGTGTAGTTAATACTTTAAGAAGTGCATCTCAACTCAGCAGAACAAGCCCAACAAGACTATAGCAAAGGCAGTTGAGACCTTCTTTATGCTCGTTTTGTTCTTTTTTGTGTTTCGTGTAAACATTTTTCTATCTATATATATCTCTCTTACAATGAACCTTTTTTGTACCATTCTCACGCTTGCGTCGTCGAATAATATTATTGGGATTGTTAACAATAAATGATGCTCAATAAAATACCACACGAAATTCTCGTATTACATTCACAGTGGTATCCGCGCATGGTAAGTGACCTTTCGGTACAATTAAAAATATGCCAGACGCCCCCAAGTGAATGCCTCCCCTACATACATACATATGTACATGGGCATATATATGTATGCACATAAAAAGTTCCTTTCAGTTTGTAGCCTCAATAGGTTTGTTTGCTTTCAAGTTATGTTTTGCGAAATGGAATATCTCTTAAATATTACACTCTCTTATCATTTTAACAGCCTCAGAAACAAGTTGAAATTATTCCCATCCTTAACTTAGCTATACAAACAATTCGCAGCCATTAAATTCTATATTAATTAGATTTCAAAATGCTTGACATAAATTCCAAATTAATTTTCTCCCATATTTTCTCGTTCATCCCCATCCCCTCCAACCCATAGCTTCGCGTGGCGGCCCTCAATGAGCCCTATGGCGGTGACTTGCAGGGCATTCGAGGCGCGGACTTTGCCTGCTATCGCCAAGGCCGGCGAGCAGGTCTGCTGGGCACCTTTAAGGCGTTCCTCACCTCCAGGTAAGTAGACGCAAGGGGCAAGAGGGTGGAGCTAGGAGAGTGACAGAAAGACCGGGTGTGTCTTATCTGTCCTTAGATTTTTTACGCGTATTAGGCATGTTTTTGATATTTAGTTTGCCACTGTGCGTACTTAAGCCTGGCACTCGACGAGATTTCGAGATGGCATTGCTCATACGCAGCGTTGGGCGTCGCCCGTTGGCGCTTTTGGAACTCATTAACTCGCACATAATCTTGATATTTGAAGCAACGCAGAGAAAAGCTCACAAAATATGAAAACAAAAGCCGCTAAAAACAATCTCGTGCAATTTATTTACAAAGCTCTGAATGGACTGAATGCCAAAATGAATGCTAATGCTGCCAGAAAGAAAGCATAAATAAATAAACGAATACATACTTATGTATGTATGCATGTGGGCGCGGTTGAACAGCCACGCATAATTGCTGGCGTTAGGCGCTTCTTCGGTAGTTTGTTTACCTGCGTTTAATTTCCTAGAGCAAATGCCTGACGCTGTATCCCACACTCATGTGGAATTCGCATTCGTAATCCTCCGGCTAAATGCTTTTATATTTTTGTTTTCCGCTCACAGGGTACAGAACCTGGACTCTATAGTGCGTTCGGCCGACTGGGAGCTGCCGGTTGTAAATACCCGCGGCGATGTGCTCTTCAATTCCTGGAAGGGAGTCTTTAACGGCCAGGGTGGATTCTTCTCCCAGGCACCGCGCATTTATAGTTTCAGCGGCAAGAATGTGCTCACAGATCCATTATGGTAAGTTCTATCATCTTCTATTTAAATACAACACATATACATTATTCGAATTACTATGCAGGCCGCTCAAGCTAGTCTGGCACGGCTCTCTGCCGAACGGAGAGCGTTCCATGGACACCTACTGCGATGCCTGGCACTCCAGCTCGCATGAGAAGTTCGGCTATGCCAGCAACTTGCTCGGCAACAAGCTGCTCGATCAGGAGCGACAGCCCTGCGACGGCAAGCTGATTGTGCTCTGCGTGGAGGCACTGTCGCAGGATCGGCGGAAAAAGCGTGATGTCAGCAGCAGGTAAGTGGGACGGGCGGGGCCAGGGGCGGGGCACCAGCAAGACGAGACATAACAAAGAAATGCTTACACGTATCGTATTGATTTGGCATTAACTTTTTATGGTGCACGCCACACACCCGAACTTTGCTCATTACAGTCGCAGTCACAGTCACATTAGCAGTCGCAGCAACAGTCGCGGCAACAGCGACAGTCACAGTCCCACTGGCGAACTGGAGCTGGAGTTCAGTACGGCCGAGGAGTACGCCGAGCATTTAGACAATTTACTGCTGTAAGAGACCACCTAGAGAGGAGCATGGGCGGGAAACGGAATTTGTAACTGTAACGCGCATTATATGAATACCAATGCAATACAAATGTGAACACCACAACACACCAATACCAATGCCATACTCATGAACACTCAGACACACACACACACACACACACACACATACACATTAAATGTAAACGTATATCATGGCCATGCATATAATCAGAGGATTCCAACTAAACCAAAAAATACTCAAGTAAGCGATCGATTAACAATTGCATAGTGAAATATGAACATACATATATACTTACATACTTACTACTTGCATACGAATAACTAGACAGGTATATATATATACATTCACAATATATATACATCATGATTTCTTATGCTCGACAGGCAACAAGCAGTTTTGTACAAGCGAGTTATGTATTAGTAATCGTAGCCTAATACATAGTCAAAATATATAAAAAGTAAGCTAATTTTGTAATTAAGTCACAGCGCAGGCGAAGCATATTAGCTGCTGCTGCTGCCATTAAGGTTAGTCCTAGTACCATATTCAGGACCGGCGCGAACTGGTCCCCATCAATACTATCTAGAGACCAAGCGCACCTTTCCAACAACAGCTAAACATACGAACTGGCCAAATTAGTCTCCTATCTACCCGATCAGCGGGAGGACTCACGCGCAAATACATTTCACATGGCTGTATACGTGTATAAATGTATTTTGTCAAAGACTTCTAAATGTGTAAATGTATAAGATAAAAAAAAAAAACAAAAGTGAAACGAACTAATACCGAATCAGAGCTAACAATTTTAAGCCCAAATCCAAATCCAACGTTCCAACGTTCTAACGTTTTTAACTAAATCAGCTCCAATGTGCATTATGTTTTATGCCAATCCAGTTTTCTATTCTACAAACTTACTCATAATGTAGCCCGATTTTCTACATTGAAATACTCGTTATTATATAAATGAACAACAAAACGTCAGCCCCTTTTTATATGAACACAATAGAATAACTAAATTATAGCTGTAATTGCAGTAATTTATATACAATAACAAATGAAAAACAAACCAACACGAGTACATATATGTATATGTATGTAATGTAACTTATTGTAATTCTAGAGCGAATACTGACGAGTAAAGCATAATTACTTGTATCAGTATAGTTAGTTACTTAATTTAATTTGCATTTAATTAATGCATTTCCAGCTACAGTTTTGTAATGTAATTAATTGTAATTGTAATATCAATAATGCTTATCATTTTTAATAATTAATTATAAAAGAAAACTAGGCACAGAAATGCTAATTGGGTTAAAGGCAATCCCAAGCAATAGCATACTAAGCATAATATACGTACATAGGTATGTATGTATGTATGTATGTATGCACAATGCAAATAACTACATTTAGTGAAATCAAAATGAATACTCAAAGCCCTCTAGTCGTAAGCCTAATACTTCTATGCAAATTCAGAGTGCATATAAAATAAATAAAAATACCATTAACTATAATAAATAATCTATATATACAAAACTGTTTATTCTGGCAGATTGTCATACTGTCGAAGCATATCATAAGTATATCAATTCACACTCGGACTTAATATGCTCGATATATGCCAATTATAATGATTTTAAGAAAGATATGACTCTTTTGGAACTCTATAGAACAGATTGGAATCTAAAATTAATGATTTAGAATTGTCCCCATTTTTGACAAAATGTAGACAGTAGAGTAGAGTCAAGACACCAAAATTATCTAATTGGGACAATCGATGTCTGATCTAGTAAAGATAATAGATTGGAAAGAATAATAGATTGGATTAGCACTTAATTTTGAGTTAATTTATTATTTAAGTTTGTGAAATAGCGATTAAACTTTGGATAAATATATTCCAACGTTTTATCGCTATTTTACAAACACAAGAATATTTAGAAAAATTACTAATTAAACAATAAATTGTGTTGCTGCAACATAAGAGACTCAATTAGCATTAAGACAGTAGATATAAGGCTGAAGGCTTTCGTCGGAACTCATCCGGAGCACATCTCGAGCAAAGTAATTGGGAAGAAATTTCTTTGATCAATATTTTCCATGAAAGTTGAAATCAATTTAAATTACCATTTTAAATTCCGAACTAGACAATCACTAAAAAAAAGCAAAGCAAATTTTGTTCATCTTCTTCTCCAATTGTGAATGTTCATCGCACGTTTGATTACCAATTTAAATAATTTTTCACTTGAATTAAAGCAAATGATTTCAAACAGCGAGCGCCATAAAATACCACCGCCCCAGCACAGAGCCTGCTCCTCTCGGCTCCATTTCGGGGGCATTGATGCTTTATGAATTTCAATGGCAGCCAACATAGTTTCAACGGCGGCTGCGGATGCGATGTGGTCCGCACTGTTATAGATACAGATACAGAGACAGATTCAGATACAAATACAGATACAGATACACACGATGAAGGTACAGATGGAAAGCGTTTCGTAAGGTAGTCAAAGCAGACTGACAATCGACAGAGGACAGGCAACAAACAAATAAACAAGCCGACAGGCCAGAGAAAAGCCAACAATTGCGATTACGATTGCGATTGGGACTGGGACAGGAATTGGGATTCAAATTGTGGTTGCGTTTGTGAGCTGGCAGCCAGCGTCAGCCACTTAGGCACAGAGCAATCAAATCAGATGAGCAGAATGAAATTTTAATTTAATGAATGAATACGAAAATTTTTGATTAGTTGATTAGCTGTGAAGTCGAAAGGCCATCGCTGCTCTCGGAAACCAGCCCAAATGGCGGGCACATCAGAAATGTGGAAGAGGTGAGTGCTGGTCGAATGGGAATCGTTGCCAAGGCAACTTATATTAAAATTTTCTTTATCTCCTGTAGTCGATTGCATTTTGACTTTTCAATTATAAGAGCTACCGGTTGGAGGTACTCGCAAACTTTTTAATTCCGAGTGCGCCTGACAATGCCATTCATCATAACACGTTTAGCCGTGAGCTTATTAGATTCCACTTTTGTACCCAGGCGCGTTTACAAGTTTCTCTGCTTGTTTCTCGTTTTTCTTTTATTCCTTTTCATTTTTTGTTTTCTTTTCATTGGAAACAAAACATACAACTTGCTGTTCGCCAAACCACACAACTTACGCATTTGGCATCCTAAAGAAGTGGCTCCATGTGTATGTGTGTGTTGGTTGTGCGGTGTGGTGTGGCATTGTGTGGTTGCTCTTGAGCAGGGCACGTTTCGAATGTGTAGGCACACACTCACACACATACTCACATGCATACATATGTCACGAATAAAAACAATTTATCATTTAGCTTATCAAGCCAGGCCTAACGTCCATTATTTTGCGGACGCTATGCGCAGAATTGTTTTTTGATGATAGCCACAGACCCAAGCCATACAAAGTAGACAGCCCGACGGAAAGACAGCCGGAAAGACAAAGGGGCAGAGCGCCGGCAGGCGGAACAAGCAGGGCAAATCCCATGTAAATAGCATAAGAAATGCCCGAGAAATGATTATTGTGCTGTTCAGAAGTAACTGGCATATCCACCTGACTGTGATTTTGATGAAAATACATTGAATTTTCCAGTTACCCGCTTGTACTCAGCTCACACAGGTATACACACGTGCTGCAGGTAGCGGCAACTGCTTGTGCTCCAAGTCAAATATTGAAATGCCTTCGCTGGCACAAATACGCAGACTATGCCCCTCTAATAACCGACTTGTGCCTGTACGACGTGGGCCAACGTGCAACTAAAAACCAACAATTATGCATGCCAAACCGCAGAAACCGATGCACCGGCGGCAACAGCAACAGCAGCGGCAGCGACAGCCACATCAGAATTTGCATAACTTTGTATGATTTTTCAACAGCACAACGCCACAAAATCATTCAAACATGCACTGGCAAACCAAGCGAAAAGTTTGAGATCGCAACGTCTACTAAATACCCTGTAATGGAAACAATTCGTGCTAAATCAAATATCAAATATATATCTCTCTCAAAAGTTTCATTAGTTTCGTGAGATAAGGCTTGTACATTTTCTTACATCAACTTTTTTCTGAGATTTGCTATTTGGAAAAAAGCAAATAGCTTATAAGGAAGTTCAAATCAAATTCTTAAGAAAATGCTCGGCATAATATTTAGAGTACAATCCAAAGCATATAAGAACTTAGTAGCTTGCATTCTTCTTGAGAAAATTTCTTTAATATTCTAAAGAACAGTTTTTTGTTACATTTTTAATCCCAAAGGTATTAATTTACCATTTTTTTCTTCGAACTTTAGCACATAAGTCCACCTAAATACCCTTTGAACGAGTATTAAAGGGTAAAAACGCAGCTATTCGCTTTTATACACACACACAAACACACACATGCTTACACAGTGTCAGTGAGCCGTCAACATTTCAACTTGTCATGCGAGCAGACACATTCACATGCACACACACACACACGCACATACAGGTACACACACACACTCACACACATAGAGCATGGTCGCAAGCCGAAGACGTTGCCGCTGGCCTACCTTCAATTTGTCGGGCTTCAGCGGGCATTCGATATCGTGGCTTTTGTTGCATACTTTTGCGACTGCAACAACAACGACAACAACAACAACTGCAACAACACCAACAACAATGGCAACGAGAACGGCAAGGTATTATTTCAGTTACGTTTTGCGGAAATGCAACTAAAAACTTGCAATTTGTTTGACGTTTTGGTATTTTCAGTATGAATTTATAATGGCCCGTAGCTCAACACCTGCCACTGGCATTACCATTTTGTTTGTTTGTTGGTTACGTTTTATGTTCTTGTCGTCGCTTCAACTGTTGACGGCCCGTGTCCATTTCAATGCGATTCAAACAGATCCCATCCACAGCGAACCTTCCACCTGAGCTGAGCCGAACTACGCTATTTAGCATGTTGTTTATTGGTATTTAAATGGCAAAGCCATTGCTGCAAGCCCGCACACTCACACACACACACACACGCACACACACACATGCAACACACATGCGTATTTATGTTATGCCGCCGCAGTAACACAAAAAGGTAGCAACTTTTAATTGAAAAACTTGAGCACTTACAACTTGCCAGCAACAGCGGGAAAAAGTCAGGAGGAATATGCAGCAAAGGTTCACAGCCAGCGAAATATATTGTATTTCCGCGCTACTCACACACACACACGCACGCACGCACACGCACGCACGCACACTCCCGCGCACATCTCGCCATCTATTAGCAATTGTAAAAGTAACAGTAATAGAGCAACTGCGGCAATGCGCGGGAGGAGGGACGTTGACGATGGGTGGGGCCATGTTGAAGGCGCGTTGTCGCCGGTATTACTCAAGTTGTTAGCAATGTTTACAAACACAATAAGCAAATACACCGACGATAGCAACAACAACAACAACAACGACGACAACAACAACAACAACAGCAGCAGCAGCAGCAGCAGTTAGAGTATCAGCAACAACTGTAAGCGAGTCACCTGCACAGGTGTTGCAGACTTAAAGACGCCATCGTCGTCATCGCCGTCGCCGTCGTTGTTTTTGTTTACACAAAGAAAGTTTTTTGCGTGGGTTGGCGTTGACTTAGGCGAGTAGGCGAATAGTTATAGTTGGCACTGTGAGCTGAAGCATGCAGCTAAGTAAAGTCTGCGAGCGAAACGTGCGAATAAGTTTCTCCATTTCGTTGCCAGGCTCCTACACAAATATTTACCAGCCGGTTAACTAAGCAGCAATACCGATTTCATTTAAACCAAGTTGCCTACAATTTAACAGTGGAAATCAACAGGAAAAACCCAGAAAAGGTAAGGTTGTTAAAGGTATTCATTTGCGACTTACAAACTCTAATATGCTAAGAATTTACCTTAAGATTTTTCTGAGACTCCATGAAGTTCATATTTTCCCCTGGTTTCCATAGAAACTTTGGATGTTTTACTAAGACTCATATTCGATAATCTAAAGACAAACGCTTTCTTAAAGGTAAGATTTTGATTTTTGGTATGTGCTCATCCTTTTATACCCGTGACGTATGCCTGGGATACGAACCCGAATTAGCTCTCAGACATTCGAGTACAGCTTTTTCAATAATTATATACATTCATTCATGTGCATCAAATCAAATTGGAAAGCTCTTAACTATCGGTCATTAACTGAAATAGGTTGCATTGCACTCACAGCTAAATATTCAGCAACAGCTGCATAATTTAAATTATGATTTGGCTTTTGCGACTAAATCTATTTCGAGAGAGGCGTAATTGGTGTTTGTTTAATGCCGTGTGCCCAATGTGCCAGTGTCCACTGCTGAGCTGACCAACAACAATTGCAACAACAATTGCAACAGCGACGGCAGCGATAACGTCACACATGCAAATTGCACCTCGCGCAGCGCCAACCACACTGATTATCGAGTGTCGACAAAAGCAGCAACAACAAGCAGGGGGTGGGGGTAGGGGGCAGCACCAGCAACTAATGCCCAAAGCCACACGGCGCCAGCTCAGTATTTCATATAAACCATAAGCCTATTAATAGCCCCTGTCTGCGATCAGACAAACAATTAAAATTGACGGCACTTTTAAGCGTTCAGCTAGTACCTACCCCCCTCCCACCACCTGCCACTCGGCTAACGTCCCGCAGGGCGCTGCCCCAACAGCAGCACTCATTGTTCAATTGGGCGTAAATGTGTTGTTGTCGCGGCACAGCACGTGCCACCCCTTTGGACATGCTGCTGTTGGCCATGGCTCTAACCAGGCGGCGATTCGCCAGCTCCCTGGACACGGCAATTAGTTTGGCTACGTGGTCGCTGTTGGGCCATAGACAATGCTTTGTTATTTGAAAGCGTGTGGCAGATTGTTGAGCGTAGATTCAAGTTATTTACTAAATTACCGTTATGGTTATGGTTATGATTATATCAGATACATATGTGTGTTTGTGATCTGTTAAATCATCTAATATAATGCAACTCAGAGTTATAGTTGCGCTGTTGCCTCTAAGATACTGATTTTTTAAAATTGTAACTTTTTGGTAACGTTAAATTTGCAAATCATGGAAAGCTTTTATGAAGCTTTTGCTTCCACTATTCAAGCTTTAAAGCTTTCTTGGCATAAGCTTCTGGCAGCCCGTTACAGCAACCATCCTTGATGACATCCTTAAAGCCTTGGCAAAGTTTTAAGACGTGCAAAGCTCTGCACCCCTCCAATCTAGTCAAGCTTTTAAGCTCAAGGTAGATGGCCCCCACTTTGAAAATTCAAAAATTCGTGTAATTTCATGAATTTTATTTAATCATAATAAACAATGCAAATCCAAAGCATTAAAATGTAAATTTTATACTTAACATACTTTGCAAATACCGGGCCCATTGCCCATAATTGTTAAGGTTGTTATTAATACAATATATATGTATATTTATATTAACCTTTAATCGTAACGTATGTGTGTCCCATTCCATGAAAATTGTAAATATTTGCACTTCTTGGAATAATGCAATATTAGCGTCGAAATTTGAAATAACTTTTATGTTAACGCATTTTGATCAGTTTAGATATAGTATATAATATAGTAAGTATATAAGTATTGTATTGTATATAATATAATGTTAATTTGGTCTTTGTTTCATATTGAAATTGTTAATTCCTTTACTCATAATACTTCTGTTAAAGGTTTAGTTAAACTCGCGAAAATTGTTGCTGTTGCTTAGGTTAAATTGAAACTCGAATTTATTACACATAAATTCGGTTTAACGCTATACGTGTATATTTATATGTATGTGTATATGTGTCTTAGTATAATATATACTCATATATGTACTCATTGTATATGATTATGTATTGGCATAGATTAGTTTTAAGTATTTGTTCTTTAGGTCTGGTTGCTCGGTGTACAAGTTTTACCATAGTGTTTCATTGGACCCTCTAGGTCTAAAGTTTTTTTGGTTTACGGTTTTGGCGTGCTTAGATTTTGATTTCATGCTGGGATTTTATTTTATTTGTTGGATATTTTTGGCTGATATGCAAAACTTCTGAAAGGAACGTGGTAACATCAACAACAAACAACAATAACAATTAAATTAACTATGAGTTATCATTTCAATTCATTCAAATTCCATTTTGTTATTAATCTTAAACCGAGTCAAATACGAACAAGTACCAATTCCAAGTACATCCTAACATTATTGTCGCCTGCATTTTGTGTGTTTTGTTGTGCGTCAATTAAAAAACAAAGTGCCGATAAAAATTACAATAAAATCGAATATGTAAATATTTGTCGAACGTAGGCTATTTGGTCTGTTTACATAGAAGAGGCTGGCAGATACGGGGTGCTGTTCAATAACTGTGATTAAATATGCATAATATTCTATATTCGAATTGTTTGGCTTTGCTAATAGTATAATAACAATGCGAAAAAATGCAAAATGCATATTAAATTTGCATGCATGCTTGCCTAGGCCACATACATGTTCCTAGTTTTATTTTGTATAAGTATGTGCTCAAGTATTTACATTACATAAAGAAATCACCCAAACGCTGCGTTTAAAAATAAGATCTTTCTCTCGGTCTCTATCTCTATCTCTATGTCTATCTCTTTCTATATCTCTCTGGTGGCCTCACCCACACTGTGACCGCTTCTCACTACTATCACATGGACGCCAGAAATCTGAGCTCTTTCGTAATGAGCAGATTCACATGATGGCGCAGCGGTTCCAGCGGGATGTACTGCGCACCCCCTCGCCGCCATCATTGAGGGCCATCGTCTTGGAGCGCATCAGGTTGAGATCGGTGCGTATGCTGGGACGCCGTGCATTGGGCGTAACCACGCCGCAGGCATCGCTGAAGCGCCGCTTGATGGACAGGGCATTCTTCTTGGTGCCACCAACGGCAGAGCCGTGCGGAGGCAGTGGAGAGGGTGCACCGAAGACGGACACCAGGCGTCGGTGCTGGTTCGGTGTCATCTCCAGGGGCAGGTTGGAAACCATGAACAGGGCATGGAACAGATCGTCGATGCGATAGTTCTGGCGTGCTGAGCACTCCACAAAAGTGCAGCAATTGTCCTGCCCAGCTATGTAGCCCATAACCTCGTCCAGCTGCACGGTTCTGTTTGAATTGAAACAATTGAAATTTTCGATTGAAGGATCGTAATATATCGCCAACTCACTTGAATTCGCGATCACATTTGTTGCCCGCTAGTATCATGGGTATTTTTGGCAGACTTTTCTTCTTGAAGCCCGAGCCTGGGTTAAGTGCCGCCCACTTGGTCTCCAGTATATTCTCTCGCAGACGCACAACCTCCTCGAAGGATTCACGAGAGTCCATGCTAAAAACCAATATAAAGAGATCGCCTGCAATGCAAATCGATGCCATCAAATGAAATATTTAACAATATTTGATTTAGCTAATACAAATTTATTGCTTATTTATTGGGTCCTTTATCGCACATTGGGACTACCACTAGCTGTGAGTGTCTGGGCTTGTCTGTGTGTGTGTTGGAACAAATAACTGACTCCGGCAGAGCTCCAGCTGTGGCTGATTCTTATGATAATTTATAGCACATTAAATAGCGGCGGGAACTCGGCAACTTAAGTGATGAAACGTGCGTTTGATATGATTGCGGCTAACACACACGCACACACACAAACACGGGCGCACACATTCAACTCACCCGTTAAAAATGACAAACGACGCATTGCGGGAAACGGATGATAGCCAGAAGTATCCAAAATATCCAATTGAAAGACCTCGTTTCGTATGCGATACAATTTGCGATGAAACTCCTCGATAGTTGGCGTATAGGCCTCCTCAAAGCGATTGCCCAGGAAACGTGCCACAATCGACGATTTGCCAGCGCGTGACGACCTGCAAAGTGGAGTTGCCTTTAAGTGCCTGGCAGAAGGACTAACTCGTATAGCTTTGATTATACGAAAACTCACCCCAACATGACGAGTCTGTAGCAATTCTTGGCCGAGGGCAGGCTGTCGTCGCACAGCGAAAGTCCTGCGCCAGGACCATAAATGAAATCGTCGGCCTGCTCGATGGCATCCAAATTGGAATGGTGCTCCAGCATGTGAGCCTGATGCAGCTCAGCGGTGGTCACAATCCGGCTGCTGGTTACGCCGCCGTTACTACTGCTCGGTGCATCCTCCAAAAAGGTGACCACATGGGCCGCACCACTTGCTGCTCCTGCTGCTGCTCCGGCTGCTGCCTGCGGTGGATCATCGGTGGGTGTTGATCTGTGGGTCGCATTCGCGTTTGCCTGCTGATTGCTATTGGCCTTGTTACGAGCTCTATTGATGCTGTTGCTGTTGCTGTTACTGTTACTGTTGCTTTTGGGCGTCGGTGGTAACGTGGATGTCGTGGCTTGGCCCGGCTCGTTTAGTGCCACGTCGACGTAGTTGTTGTTGTTGCTGCGCGCACAAAACCAATTTTTGCAGCGATACATTTTGCCAGTGTCATTTCCGCCACTTTAATGGTCAACTGTGCCTGCCTGTCTCACCGTGTGCTCCCTCTCGACACGCACGTGCTGTTGCTGCTGCTTATTACGCATACGCAGCGTGCAACGGGTAGATAGGTGGGTTAGACGGTTACCTGTGTGCACTTGATTACTTGTTTTCTCCAGCCACAAAATTCGTTTTAGCCCCGCAATCAGTTTCTGTATGCGATTTGCATTCTCAATCAGACAACTTTGCCGTTGGCCACATTTACATTTCCGATTTCAGAACCTGTTAATAATATAACTTTTGCCGGCAGCCTTCAGCGCCCTGGACGTTATCCTGCGTTATCCTGTTTAATGCCTGGTTTAGCTGCAAAGAGAAATGCACACATTTTACACGCAACCACTCGTAAATACATAAAAACGTTACGCGAATTGCATAAAGAACAACCGAGATTTAAGCTGTTTGCGTTTGAGCAATGCCCAGTGGCCAGAGCTGCCATCCAGCTGGGTAATTGCATGGACACGGACCGTTCCAGGCGAGTAAACCACATAAAAATGGCGCATACAAAATTTCAAAATGACTGCACTAGCTAGTCCATTAAAAGGGCGCGACGCTGCCTCCCCCCTCCCGCCCATCCAAGGACCATTTGGGTTCAATAATGACCATCTTGCAACAAATCTAATTAACTTTGTTTTAGCTCGCTACGTGTTCAGGGTACACCAGCAGCAGCACCCTGCTGCCGCCCCTTTGCCGCTATCCATTCAAATGCAGGCGGAACAACAAGCCAACGGACGGTATCAAACCGGAAAGTGCCGACCGTAATCGAGTGCAGCAAGTGCCTCGACTCGAATTTCGCCATTAGAGCGCCCAGCTTCTGGGAACTTTTCAGTGCCAGCGTCCCAGCTCAAAGGAATTCGGCTGGAAAATATGCAAGAACAAGAATGTGCCACATAATGAGTACATTATAAGTATGTGCATGTAACACACACTAACTCGTTCCCAACGACCTTGCCGGAACCACGCTCCATTGTTGTCCCCTGACGGCCCCCTGGCCGCCCCCTGGTCGCCACTTGCCTTAACGTTGCAAACAAAAAGCCATTTAAAGAACTACTTAAAACGATACCATAATTGAATTCGGTTTTTGGGCCCCTGCTCGCAGCCATTCTCATGTGTTTTGTAAGAAAACACGCAAATTACTTTGGCCAAGAGGAGTGCAGGAAATGCCTTAAGACAATGATGACATTTGAAAGCGACACACACAAGGCCAACGAACCGAGCAATGTGCGAGAAAACACAAACAACTTAAAACATAACAACAACTGCCAAATACCCTGCACATCAAGAACTATCGGGTAAGTCAAAATGAATGATTTTAGCTGATTATGTATGTATTTTTTTACAAATACGATTCTTATTTCAGCAAATTATTTATTGGAATTAGAATTCGAAATCAGGGTAAGAGTTATCCTCGCTCGCGAGAGAGAGCATGTGCAGGGTTATATATACCTGCATACATATATACACATGCGAGCATATTGAAAGTCCATCCGCCTTCTGCATACCTAAGCTATACATAAATAATGATGTTCGCTTAAATCCACTTCAGCAAACACATTTTCTATTCTTATACTATCGTCTATCTATTTCCAATCTCTTTGCACATGCAATCCAATTAATTTCCTTTTTACATACATACACAATCAGATATCAGATCCAACGAATTTACTACAGGGTATATAAAAACAATCAACTAAATGACGGCACACATTAAGCTGTGCACCTGGCCAGCAGCTGCTAAGTGGGCTGGTCCTGTCGCGTACATGTGATTTTTTTCCACCCATGTTCAGCCATTGACAGCTTAAATTCAAGCTCTGGGGGAAATATTTAGACTGGTTTAAAAATAAAACAGTGTCACAACTAGTTTACGTTGGAGAATGGAGTTAATCTGGTTACGTAAAGCTTACACGTAAGTTATTTTGGCAAACAATTGTTTGAAGCTGGAAGGCATCTAGTTGGATTGATTTCTAAAATAAAAGTCCTTTATTCATTCCTCTAACATCAATATTTTGATCATTATTTAATTTAAATATAATTTTATCGTTATATATGTGTGTATGTATGTATGTATGTATGTATGCATGCATGCATGTGTATGTGTACATATGTATATGTGTGTACGTCCGTACACATGAATGCTTTCTCTAACTTAACACAGTCTAAGTTAGATGGCACTGCGTTGCAAATTTAAATTAAATGCATTTTTAAATGCTCTCCTCCTCGATTCTCAAAAATTTAAGTAGACCCTGCTGAAATTCAATAAGGCAGGAAACGTTGGCTGCAACGGCCGGTGGAGGAGCAGCTTGACGCGGTGGAGCAGGTAAGTAGATATGTATGTAGATGTAGATGCATGTATGTAGGCGTATGTATGTAGGTGTATGTATGTAGGTGTATGTATGTAGGTGTATGTATGTAGGTGTATGTATGTAGGTGCATGTATGTAGGTGTATGTATGTAGGTGTATGTATGTAGGTGTATGTATGTATATGTATGTATATATGTATGTATATATGTATGTATATATGTATGTATGTATGTATGTATGTATGTATGTATGTATGTATGTATGTATGTATGTATGTATGTATGTATGTATGTATGTATGTATGTATGTATGTATGTATGTATGTATGTATGTATGTATGTATGTATGTATGTATGTATGTATGTATGTATGTATGTATGTATGTATGTATGTATGTATGTATGTATGTATGTATGTATGTATGTATGTATGTATGTATGTATGTATGTATGTATGTATGTATGTAGCCACGATGCAAACTAAAAAAAACGTATTCTTAGGTAATGCCCCTCTACTCGATTCTCAAGAATTCAAGTAAGCCCCATAGGCTTCACTTCATATTAAATGTGACGGCGGCTTCGACATAGGAGGAAACGACGGCTTCGACATAGGAGGAAACGGCGGCTTCGACATAGGAGGAAACGGCGGCTTCGACACAGGAAGAGACGGCAGCTTCGACATAAGAGGAGGCGGCGTCTTCGACATAGGAAGAGGGGGCTTTTATATTGGAGGAGGCGGCAGGTTCGACATAGAAGGATACGGCAGCTTCGACATAAGAGGAGGCGGCTTCGACATAGGAGGAGACGGCGGCTTCAATTTTGGAGGAGTCCGCGGGTTTAACAAAGGAGAAGGTGGCTATGGCCGAGCTCACTAATAAAACTGGTACGTATTATTAACAAAACTTATTTTATTTAGAATAAATGTAGTAACTATTACAAGCGTATGTTTGCTTATTAGTTTATATATGTTTAAATGTGGTGTAAATATGTAGGTGTATGTTGAGCTGAGCTAAAAATTATAAAGAAACTTAGATACAAATATTGCTCTTCTACACGATTCTCACTTATTCAAGTAAGGTTTAGCGAGCAAGCTGCGTTCTTAAGCTAATTAACATTTTCTCTGCTCTTTGTTCTTTCAGTGATGTGTTCTTATAAAAGTTCGAAGCCCGCCTACTGATAGATGACGATAACACAATCTTGCATATGGATTTACAGGTGAGTAGGTTATTATAAATATATGAAAGTATTTCACAGTGTGCACTTATCTAGTTGATAGCAGAATCTGTTACATACTTTTGTGCTGCTTCGATTGAAAATTCGTCAGTTTTACAGCATGCTTTTGTAGTTGCTGCAAGTAAATCTTTGCATATCGAAAACTAATCGTAAGTTTTGGATTTTTTTTTCAGTTGATTTCGCTGATCGTTAAAAGTTGGTTGGCACAAACTTATGGACAGTTTTTGGTATGTACAAATATTTAATACATATTCCATATTTTTGTTTATTATTATTATTAAGTTTAGCTTTATTATTAAGTTTAGCTTTATTTTAATTTTTCTGTTTCATATTTTTGAAGATTTAAAGAGTTCATGTTAATCTGGATATATACATGTTTAAATACGCATAGATATAAGAAAATATCCAATACGCAAAGATAACATAAAAACAAAGACCCAATTCGGACAAGGATTGGATAAGTGACATTAATCAAGTTTTGCTTCCAAATAAGGATTGATATGTTCTGAGTGCACACAAATAATTCAAAACTTCCCATTGACACTTACCATATGGCCCTCCCGACAATTGTTGCCGACGCCTCTGCTCGTGCCACATGCTTGCCAAATGGTTGCGTTGCCAGTTTGCAATGTGCTCAACAATTTTTCATATTTGCTTACAGTACGTGCATACAAATGCGCAAGGTTATACGCCCACCCTGCGCCAGAGCCAGAGCCAGACCCAAGCCCAGTTCCAGATCCGCCGTAAATTGTCATATGCGAAGTTGAACTAGCAAATGCAATCGACACCTAATTTTGGCGAGCACATCTGCGTTTTATGTGCGGAGCGTGGCATAGAACAACAGCAATTGACTGAGGGCTAGCCCGTGAGCAGTCCAGAATATGAGCATGCTGTGCGGTTTCAGATAAGCCCCGAGCTGTCAAGATAGAGAACGCCCGCTCCGAAACCGCAAGCATGAATTACAGGCCAAACAATGAAAGAGAGAGAGGGAGCAAGAGAGTGAGAGAGCGATAATCTAAATGAGCTAGCATTCGAGTACATTTGGCTGGGGTTATCGCCCAGTATCAGACGAGTACCTGTACAACCCGCACCCGAAAGAGCCTCCGTTACGCTGACAAGTGAAGAATTAGAACGCCAATTTATTAAGTGCCTCCACAAAGTGCAGCCACAATGTCAACGACTCCGATAAATATAGCCCCTTCTCCAGTTGAGGTGCAACTATTGCAGGGCAGTCAACGGCAGCAACAGCGAAGCAGTTGGGCAAAGTATGGAAAGTGTCGCATTAAGAAGCTGCTGAGCTCAGCTGCCATTTTCGTAGCGCTATTGCTTATCGCGGGCGCCATTTACATGCATCTAAAGCAAAAGAATCATCTCGGGCGCCTGAACATAGCGCTGGCGACAAAGGAGAATAATGTCAGCGAGGTGATACTCCCCTTTGAAGTGGTCACTGCTCCGGGCGTGGGTAAGTCATGATAAGTGGGAGCTCTTTGGCAAAGTACTCGGTCACGTTCAGAGTACCCATTAAAACACCCCAGCATGTTTATGCTAACCAAATGTAATCATCTACATATATATATACATACATATATATTGCAACATAGTAAAGGAGATAACAGAGATATTTAAACACTTAAAAAACCGAAATTTGTTGTCTTAAAAATGAGGAACATTTGACACTGTAAGCCAGGATTTCGTCGATTTCATCGATACTCATCTGCCCGTTCATTGCAGCTGCACTTGGCTCACCGCTCCTCAGCGATGACTGTTTGAAGTGCATTGCAGCAACGGCCACGGACCATAAGCCGGCAATGTGCGGGCCAAGCCCATGCAGCATATATCGTATCTCCCGGCCGTATTGGCAGGATGCGATACGGCTCGGTCAGTTCTTTGGAGCACAGGGTAATGCGAGCTGCCAGCTGGCTTCCTTTGACCATCGACTAAGCCCTACAAAACATCATTCCAGATTACGAGAGCTGCGTATCAAATCCGGAGTGTGCCACAGAAACTGTGCGCAGCTTCATAACATCCTACGCCAGGGACTGCGACGGTGATGGACTGATTCTGTGTCGGGATCACATAATGCTGCATCAACTGGGACCGACAGGCTGCCTGCAGAGGACGTTGCCGGCTTTTTCCAGAAACCGCATGCATGTTTGTCTGAGACAGAAAGAGCTTGAATAGAGACGAGCTTCTGCCCAGCGCAAGGGCATGTCTGAAACATGGCTTTTATTTAGTGGGTCGCCAGTAAAATGTTAGCATGTACAGGGCCAGAAAGTCGTGAAACAATAGCAGCGCGGATAACTTGTCATCTTTCAGCCCGGTCCGCTCTTGGCCATTACCCATAACCGATTGCACATGATACATCACAATCTGTAAATGGCGAGTGCATGTCGAGTGGTTGTGACATGGGTGGGTGTTAGTGTGTGTGCGTGTTGTGGACGTGTTTTATAAGTGAGATGTGGGCATCAGAGGCAAGTATAACAATAAGCAACGCCTTACGGGCAACACCAGCATCACGACGATAAAAGCATACAGGAAAAAGGGCCAACTCAGATGTAGGATTAGGAAGTAGGTGATAGTATAAATACAGAACACAAGTAAAAGGAAGTCCACCAAGAACAATAATGTTGCATATTTCGTGAGGTCAAACTGGATGGCATAGTGATATGAGTTTGGAATGTCTTGTGCTAGATTCCTTTTTTTTAACTTACCGATACAAATATAGCAATTAACGAAGACATAACTATGAATATCAAGGCAGCTAGAAAGCCAATCAACAGTCGCAGCATATTTGTATTGACAACCAGGAGCCCGATGGCCAAGATCTGGCCCTCGATTACCAGCAGAGTAAGGACCCAGTTCATGCAAGCCATTTTCCTTATTTGGGAGCTAACGGCGAACACCAGGAAGAACATGATGCTCATGAAGAACACAATCAACAGTGCCGACTCATGGCTATACACCAGGGCAGTAATTTTGTTTCTATGGAGTAAACAGCATATTATGGCTGTAGTAGTTCTTAATGGAAGCCCAATAGAGCATGTTACCCAGCCAAGGCCGTAATCGCTATCCATTGGAGTACGGCAAGCAGCAGAAATGCGATGAACAGCAAAAAAGTTCGAAAAACAAAACGACGTCGGTCCTCGGCTTTCTCCGCTCTTTCGGTAAGACTCTTAAGACGTGTTTGAAACATTGTTACATAAAATTTAAAATATTTACTTCCAAGTCAAAACAAATACAAATGCTACGTAGCTGTCTCTGTATCTCTGACTCAGGGCTCTCCGGAAAACTGTCCCAAAAACACAAACAACAATTTAACCCAATAAATTGACGCCAAAGCATTTAAGACATATATTTCAAACTCGTACATAATTGAGCTCTGAAAACTTCTCAATCTTGCAACATCGAGCACAAATTGAACGTCGCAAGTGTGCAATAATTAAAAGTTTACCCAGCACTTACAACATGAGGCGTACGCCACCATTCGAACCGATGCCAAAGTTTGCAACAACTTTCTTTTTAACACACAGCACACGATCTCAAAACTTGCACAGTATAAATTTTCAACGCTTTGCTATTATTCAATTGTGACCTTGTCATATTAACTCCTTAAATGTATATCTTTTAAGATGTGAGATAGTGGACACAAAGTTCGAAGTATTTAAGCCAAAACAATTTGCTTTATCGAAGTCTGTAATGAATTCCTGCAATAATCCCTAAAAATTTGTTTTCTATCTTTTGTGCTGCTGCCGGAAAATGCTTTGATTTTTCATTTGCACAAAGTAAAAAAAAAAAAGAAAGCAAAATGTAATGAAAACATATTTTAAATGTTTGTGTTGCGAAACAAGAAGTTTTGCACGCGAGCAATCTCAACTGCTAGATACTCTGTTAATAAACAGGCATGTTAGCAGAGGCTCTGTTAATAACAGCTTAAAGCAGAGTCTAATGAAGGTTGCAAGAATTTTATTAAGGTAAACTCTTAAGCAGATTATTAATTATCATTTTTGTCAGTCTAGACTTTAAACTCTGGCTATTATTTATTAATGCCAGGTCCTACAACAAATCAATAGACTGCTGCCCTTGAACGCGGTCAATTATTGTATTGAAATATATTTGGACTTCTTTTTCTGTTAAGTGACAGTAGTTGCCTTTGTGTATTCAGTGGCTTTTGTCTTTAGTCCTTTAAGATTATATTATTTATTTATTTTACTACGGGGCGTATGCGCAATGTTAACTGGCAGCGCGGATGAATTTTATATTCGAACTAATTCAAGATACGCGTTACTTGCCTTAAGTTTGCCTGAGGGTCTCGACCAATTTACATGAAATGCGCTATTCGCGTTCCTGCGCTTTGATTGCCGTAAGCGTAATCATTCAATCGCATGACAAGTGAATATTACTTGATTCAATCAAATGCGCAAGTGACCCGTGTTGCAAACTGAAAATAGAACAAATGGGGTATTGGGGTATCCCATCGAGCTGCTTATTCATATTCAATTTTATTGAATTGTAGCAAATTTACTAATTGTAGATGTTTATCAAGTGTTTCAAATAAATTCAAGTGTTGCCCGATTGTTTGACTGTTTGACGGATTAGTGGTCATTCGCTGCGGCCAAGGACAGTGGCACCTCGCAAGAGTTTCGCTTAAAAGCAATTACTAACATGGTCTAAAATTCTCGCCTAGTGTTCAATGTTTTTCGAGTGCTCCTTGTCAAAGGTGTTGTTGGTCGGCATCAAATCCCACAGATTGACGTGAGAGAGTGCACGCACTCTGCTCGAATTGATTGCTTTATGGCAGGCAGTGTAGCGTAAAATAAGTGGAATGCAGGGCGGGTTGCGAAAAGAAATTTTTGCGTTTCTTTTTGCCAGTTGCTCAATTCCGGTCTCTTTTTTTTTATACCATGGCAAACTTGCAGCTGCTGCGCAACTTTCACTGAATTTGCAGTGCATTTTGCATGCAGCGAACATGGCCCCGCAGTTCCGCCTCCTTTCTCATTTTTAGCGTTTCGCTTCTTTTTTTTTGGCAATTTTGTTTGCACTGCCACCGACAGAGAAAAAGGCCAATGAAATTGTAAAAAATTTATCATACTTTTGCTTGACTAACTAACAGGATTAACTATATGAAATTTACATGGCATATGGCTCAGACAAAGAGTCAAAGGGGTATGCGACAAAGCATTAAGAATAATGGAATTCGCTAAGAACTCAATGACCGACTATAAAATACCTGTATCCAGAGTTTACACTTTGATTAGTACAGCAAAACTAATAAATTAATCATACGCCACATATAACTAATTTGTCAGCGAGAGAAAAAATCCCTTTTCGATAATATATCAATTATATATAATGCTCTGCTAGTGTATAATTAGGCACTTATTTAAAAGGTGGTTGCCCTCTGGGCGCGGGTATAGAAAGGGTTGGCAGCTGCCAGAGATCGTCGGCAATCAGCAAGCGTGCCACATAATTAAGTGTACATCAGAGATTAGCCACAAAATGGGCGAGGCGCGCGCCCAAAAAGGGACCCCAATCGGCCGCAGGCCATAAATCCTGACGGGCGTTCGTAGCTTTTATGCGCATATTTAAATAAGCATCAGCAATGAGAAGCCAGCACGAGACTAGAGCAACAACCATGTCAACCATGGCAGCAAAGGCAAAGACAACTTTAATGTCTCTTTTGTGGCAATAGCCGCCAGCTGAATGCTCCTAACTGAGGCGCTTCATTAATTTTATAGTCGGCGAGGAGGCTGCGTGGGAGCCAAGAAATCTGAGGTCGCCAGGCGTGCGTTTTGCGGTAAGGTTTCTAGTTGCTCCAGTTGCTCGGGCTGGCTTTGAAGCTGCTGTGGATCTGCTTGAACAAAAGTTTTGATTGTCTAGCCACGCACTAATCACACACACATCCTGCCACACAACACACATGCCACATACCGTGTGCGTGCGTACTGCCAACTCAAGCGGTTAAACGTGAAACTTTTTTAATTAGAGCTGTGGTGGGCAGCGCATGCCACGCTGGCGCATTGTGTAAACAATTTTCGTAATCTTGAGCTCATAGTTTCGAGCGCCTACTGTGTGCTTTCTGGCTGGCTGGCTTCCCGTTTCTGGTCGCTGCTGTCACGGCATTCGCGTTCATGTTGCAGCCAAGGCCAAAACGAAAGTCGCCCAAAAATGCTCATCAAATTGGCAACAGTAGACCGCCCTGCTATTTTCGTGCCAAATAAAATTCATGAGCCTTTGTAATAAAAACGTCACAGCGCAGCAAGTCCGCGACGGCACAAAGGACTCCAGACAGCCAGGACAACAGCAGGAAGAAGGAGAAGCAGAAGAAGAAGGGGCACAAAACGGAGCAGCTGTCACCACTTGTCAATGACAATGGCACCCTCGAGAGCGGAGCGCATAATTTCGAGACATCCTTTGTGCAGCGGCAAATTCACAACAGTTTGCATTCATTTAATTTTTCTATTATCAAAAATAAAAAAAGGCTTTGCGCTTGATTGAAGTTTCTGGGACCGCCATCGGCTCAGGCTTAATGTGTCGCAAAATTATGCAAAACCGAGCATGCTTTGAGCGAGAATAAACGATATCTTCCTCGACGTAATAAATAATTACAACACTGTGAAATACCCTGTATGCAGCAGCTATCTGTCTTGGCATACACAAATATCCAAGTATGCGCAGAATTAAACTAGATGGCAAAATCATAATCGAGTTGCCAGCAAACATTTAAGCCGATTGAGTTTTGTCAAAGTAATGTGATTTTGAAGTTTTCAAAGAGCATTTACTATAAGCTTTAGTTAGAGCTGGAAGCAAACATTTTGTTTCAAACAATTTTCTGATCTTATTTAGCGAAGTTTGTCCTAGCATAATGCATTTCTTAAATGAGTATAACTTGATTATCGAATGAATGGGATTCAGAAGGATATGTGCAGAAAATTTGTATCTTTACATTAAAAGCGAAAATGGTTTTTGCTCGAACGCTCGAACCGACCGCAACGGCTGCAAATATCCGCAGGATGCGTTGGCTGTCAATGCGATTATGTCAACGCAATCAGGGGCAATGATGTCCTCGTCCACGAAAATATGTTTTCTGTTGTCTCTGGCAATTTGCGCTGCTTTTTTCGGCGCGAAATACTGATACTGTGTATGCAATGCAGAATATACATAAAAACAAAGCTATATCGTTACAAATCGCTCGCTTGTTTGCGTATCAATGAAGAAATAGCCTTTATTGCATACTTTCCCGCGTGAGTATTACGCACGCACACACAGTTACACAAACAGACACACACGTACGCAGACACATGCACAAAAAAACGCGGTGACAAACAATTTCCGTAGCTCTCGCCCTGTGGCTTCCGCTTTATTTTTTCTGTTATTTTCGTTTTTTGTCTGTGACGTGAACTTTCAGCCACTTTTTGTATTTCGGTCAGGTCACATTTATGTTTATATTGTTCGAGTATACATTAATTATGGCTATTTACTCGCCGTCTGCCCCTCGCCAATTATGTGCACGAAATGGCTTATTATTGGTCCATATACATGCCTACACATAGATATAGGACGTGCGGCGAAATCAGCACGCCAAATGGCCCTCAAAGGCCACTTGCCTGTTGGCACCAAAAGTACAGCAAACCCTAGCATTTTTGGTAAACAAAAATAGGCCATGTTTACACAGCGAAGAGCCTTAACATTTGTTGCTGTCATCCCTATATAGTCCGGGATGATGGATGTTATTATAATGTCTCTAACCAAGCTGACGCTTAACCTAAAGTCATCTATCTTTTATTCAGTGGGTTCATGTCCAATTCAAGCCAACCACAAGAATTGCATTCAGACTGCGAAAACCGCAGAGCGTTGGTCAGTTCTTAAGCTGCTTACAAATTAAAAACAATTCAATGTAAATTTGTTCTAGTCGCAAAAAAAAAAAAAAAACAGCATAAAGCACCGCAGAGCTGCGTTTTTTAATGCTTTTGTCTCAGCTTCAAGTAGTTTTTTTTTTTTATTATTATTTTGTAATTACGCTAATTGGCGTTCCACCCGACGCGGGCGGGCAATATAATGTGGTATATTTTGTGCGGCTGCTGTGAGCATTCGTAGAAAATTAAAAGCACCATAATATTTTCTTAGAATAAGAAAATTAGTTTTAGCTTCATAGTTTATAAGCTTGACAATTCCTCGGATATGTTATATGATATAAGGGTATTTATATTTACAATGAATTCTCTTTTTTTAAGGGTCAAGTTGACAAATATTGTAATTAGGTTGATTTAAAGATTAGCCATTTTCCCTCTAGAGAGAGAGAGAGAGAGAGAGAGAGAGAGAGAGAGAGAGAGAGAGAGAGAGAGAGAGGGGAAAAGCTCTGTCGCTCGCCTTTCTATGCGATTTTCATAAGTTGAAGTAATGCGAATTTTAAAGGTTGTCACTTGTGTGTGTTTCATCATACCCTGCACCTGACCGCACTTAAATGAGCATACATTTATAGTGGGTCGGGGTAAGGGAAAAATAAACAGTCTTGGCTTCGTCTTAAATGGCGACAGGGACATGAAGTCGTATCCGAAAAGACACTTTGTGGCCACAGAACCACGGGTCCCGCTGGGTCGACTGGCATTTTAAAGCATTACCTTTGGGCTTAGCTTACAAATATGTACGAAATACTATGTAATCATTGGAATTACAACGAGAATTCATAACAATGTTTCAGACAGACATAATACACACTTCGCACACAACAAACTTGCAGTTGTTGCTGTGTGGGTGTGCCAAAAATCAAATGGTTTACGGCAGCAACACATGTCAAGGAATCACAACAGACCCAAGAATAAGATCGAAAAATAAGCTACAATGATTGACTGCGTGACACCCAGTCTTACCTTAATAAATTTATATATTTTGGTTTCCTCCATTTTAATTTTGAAAAACTTTCATCTAATTTAAAGCGAACGAAATATACAAAAATTGACAGCTAGAGAAAATCATTCAATTTATTTGATGATTTATTATGAGCAATACTTCAACCGTATACAAACATATCAATTTAACGTATGTACAACATACATGCAAAGAAAATAAATCCTTCAATTTGTCTTATAAGCCCAGGGTATATATAAATAGCGACAGCTGCAAAGGACCCGCCGCAACGGACCCCAAAATCATTTTACCAAACATTTTGAGAACTGTTGAAAAAGATTTTTTGAAAAGGCAACACACGCCCATGCAATGGGTGTATTTGTTTCCCTTTGTGGCAGAGCACCCAAACTCCAGTCAAGTCGTTAAAAGATGTGTGAAAGGCGGTGAAAAGGCGACGCGTCGGCGGAAACAAAGGATTGCGCTGGCGTTAAAGGTTAAGCTACGTATAAAATTACTTCGGGCGAACGCACAGCTGTGCTCCTGTCTTTATAATTCAGATTTGTGTGGATGGGACTTGATTTGTGGTGCTTGAATATCAGAGGCGAAACTTCAAAAGCTCTCTGGTTCAGCTCCCTCTCATATTCAATTAGCAGACAGAAATTCAAAATGCGCGCTAATTTATTAATGGCTAATGTCAAATTTTTGCTGCCGTCAAATGACATTGAAAAATTATCTAGGATATATTTGTGTGTGTGTGTGTGGTGGTGGGTGGGTGTGGGTTTCAGTGTGTGTGCGTGCTGCTTAATGGTCTGGGCCCCAACAAGTAGGGGACTTTGGCATAAAACAATTTAGATAAGCAAAGTGTGCAAGGCACAGGACTTGGGTACATATTTGCACACTCGTTCAGAAATGTACGAGTTTCACTTTCAGCTCTGCTCAGCCGTCGTGTGTTTGTTTTTCCCCTGATTTTTTAGCAACTTAATCAGTTAAATATGACGTGTATGTAGCGTTGACAAACTGGCGTTTTGCTTTAGCTCCAATTATTACTTGTTGGGGGGGGTAAGGAACATGGAACGGACGTGGTCGTTGCCTCCATGCCAAGTGCCTCGATTAAAGTTCAACTATAAAAGTGAGCGAAATGTAAGAGACAAAAGCCACAGTGTTCTGCACTCAAGAGTTGGGCCATAAAAAATGGAGTGTTTAAGTGGGTAACCCAATGCTAGGGGTTTTTATAGGCCAAGTGGACGAGGGCTGGTCACGACATCCACAAGAAAAAAAATGAAAATAAAATAAATACTTGGCCATGTCCAATGCTGGCAGCTATGGTGGGGAGGGAAGGGGATGGGGCGCTGACCGGTGTTGGCCAGAGGCAACCAACAACAAATCAAATAATAAATAAAATAAAATAGTCCCAAATTGTATTAGGGACTGGCACATCAGGGCGATGGAATAATGGTGTCTATCTGTCGATAACAATGTATTCCATTATGTGAAGCACAAATTGCAGCTCACCTGTGGGGGACATCAACCAAATTGCTTGTCCTGTGCAATTATAATGTATTTCTTCTACTGCTGACACTTAATACATTATGCGTATCTCACGAAAACACACGCACACACACACACTATTTCACAGAAGCTCAGTCATATTTGCGAGTCATCAACATTTAGACGATATGCTCGTCAATAGCTAAACGCACGCCGAGTCGTTGTCCTTTGGGCCGGCTATGAGTTTGTTTTGCTTTCGCGTAATATACGCAGCGAGCACGCCTTTAAGTACGCTGTCAATTCAGATTTAAATTGCCGTGAACAGCGTGGAGTGTCCTAACCAGGAGCCGACGTACCCTTATCTGAAACGTATTGCTGCCATCGTCAGGAAATTACTATGAAATTCAATTGAGGAAGGTTTCGCGCCTGCGCACAGCCTAGCAGTGAGAGCGACTGTTAACGGCTTAACAGCAACAGCAACAGCAACAACAACAGAAGTGTTTACAGTGCGAGTTCGAGTTCGAGTTCGAGTTGTTGTCACACTTGCCTGTGCAAGTGCGTAAGTATGTATGCAAGCGTATAGCTTGACATGAAGTTAAGCAAACAAAACAAAAGTCATGCTGTATTCTACATGGCCCGTAGGGAAAACTTCTGCTAGCAACAAGCGACCTGCTCCATGCTCTTTCAACTCGCAGTCATAAAAATATCAACCCACACACAGTCTCGTATGTACACACAATTAGAAAATAATGCGTGCTGGCGCCCATGTCAAGCATTCGAATGTCTTAAGCTGTTGATTTTGAAATCATTTTGCGTGATTATCAAATCATTTGTTACCACCATGAAGTCACTCTCTCAAACTACCCCATAGACGCTAGCGGTGACAAGTTTAATCCCCGAGAGGCCTCTTTAATGAAATGCTAAGATGTTGGCAATTATGAAAATAAAGCATCTACATAATATCCAAGAGCTAATGTGCGTTTGCTGCTGCTGCTCATCGGGTGGGCTTAAATGTCGTGGAGGTCCTTGACTGCCGCCTACGGCCTGTGGTCGCCACTGCGGCTTCATTCAAATGCCGCAAATCCCAGACTGTGCCGTTGACATTAATATCTAGCAGGTTGCCAGATAGCTGCCAACCCCTAACGACAGATTTTAAGCAAAGCGCGAATCGCTTTCAGAAGGAGAGGTTACGTTGGCCGAGGTTAAAAAAATAGGAAAATTATTCAGCCAAGTTTGACACTAGATTAAATATTTCAAACTTTGACTCAATTCTTACAAAATTACTTTTATTTTAGTCCCTGGAGCTGTGAGAGATTACAATCTCTAATTCTACATTAAGCATTAGACTTAACATAATTCTGGGCCAGCTGCATAACATATGGTGTAGTCCCGAGCATCTTTAGAGAGAATTCAGATATTTCAAAAAGATTGCAATATGGTAAAACGTCAACGGCAAATACAAAATTTCCAATCAATGCTTATAGCTCTTGGCTGACATTGCACCTGCCCAGCTAGAACTCGGCTTAGATACGGGCTGAGAAGTGGGAGTTGCTTCTTTCATTCAGCTGGCGGCACACTTGGCTGCACATCGCAGACTTGCATAAAAGCAGAAAATCAAAAGATAATCAGATTTTATATCAATAACCAATAACCAGTGGAACTGCCATCAATGGCAATGACTGATGGGGCGTGGCACTGTGTGTGTGCTTGTGTGTGTTTGCACCATGTAAATATTTATGTACTGGCATTCGCTTGAAAAAAGAACAGACACCCATAGACAAGGACGATGTGCATTGTTCAAGGATACAAAACTGGTGGCTCTGATACAAAGTCAGTCAATGAACTGAATGCGGCAACTGATGAATGCAACTGTTTGCTGTGAAATCGTGTCGTGCTCCTGATACACACTCCCCAACCCCCCACACACATACCTGTAGAGCATACAAAGCAATATCAGCCAAGCACTAACGGGATAAAGGACAGGCAACAAGCTTGACTTGATAGCATCAATTGACAATTGAAACGAGAAGCATCCAAGCACAAAACACCAAACGCGACTGCGACAGTAAGCAAGTGCCTCCCCAAGGAAGGACTAACTGAACAACTGACTGACTAACTGACTGACTGGCTGTCGATTGTTCTGTTAGAGCTGGAAACCGAGTGCGTAAGCACACGTGTGACAATATCTGGCCATCATCATCATGCCGAGTAAGCCCTGGCTTGGAAGATCTCATTAGCACGCAGAGCCGGTTAAACGTTTTGTAATCAAATTAATTGCCCCGCTAGAGATACTGCCGTGTATTCATAATGCCAAACAATTTCGCATTAATTAAAAGCCAATAAAAGTGAAAATTATCAAGCGTAGCAAGGCGCAGAGACGCTGGACGGACCCACAACACGGCAGGTAAGCGGACGTCCACTTCATAAATAACGCGGCGCAAAGCCCTGCGTGGGTAGCTCGACGAGTAATGGAAACTAATGAAATGACAAATTTTTACAACAACAATTCAGGTCGAAATTCAAGCTGTCAGCCTCCAGTCAATTAGCCAGTCATCCAGTCATCCAGACAGCCAGTCAGCCGGTCAGGCGGTCAGAGCTAGAGCATTGACCAAACTCAATTAGTTTTAATTAATTGTCGCCGCAACGGTACTTGACCAGCATACTTCCACTTTGCGCTGATTCAGATGGATTGGCAGCGCTCAGCTTTAATGGCGGCTGGCCGGAAGCGAGTCCAGGCACCGACATCATCGTAATGGCCCCGTCGGTCAGTGCAGTCCCAAGGCCTACGATGGCCCAAAATGTGGCAGTTTGAGCTTCGAATCAAGCGTGTCCTGAATGGCAGCAAAGTCACGGCTAACTGAACCCAACTGGGCCCATCAAATATTTACATATATGTTACAGCGTATGTCACGGCGTCAACTGTCGGCGTCTATATGTTATATCGATTAAATTGGCTTGGGGCCGACAAAAGTTAGTTGTCCAGCAGTATAATTTAAGGGCATTATTAGTTGGGGCTGAGAAAGGGCATTTAAATAAAGCCACATGCATATATACACATATCCGCATGTGCATATATGTTAAATAAATATGTATATTGCTCGACACGAAACTTGCAGCAGAAACTTGCCAGCCACTAAGCGCTTATGCCCAAACGGGAGCGGGGCATGCACGTTAACACCGCCCCGGGGTATAGCAATACCCCAAGTTCGTGTGAACGTGTGTGTGAGTGTGTGTGTGTGTGAACCACAACATGTGTCGCCGGGCGTGAACAAAAGTGCTCCAAAAATCACATTACCAAATATGCCAGCACGACCCAACTTTGACTCAGGCATCAGCATTAGCATCACCAACAGGATGTGGCCCGGGGCTAATGCCTTAATGCGCCTAAACTTGCTGTAAATCAGCGTGCTTTCAACTAATTTGCCGTCGCCTTAAGCCAAGCCAGGTGTTAAGGCTCCCAAAGCCGTGCAATCGACGTCAAGTAGTCCACATGAACACAAATCGGACCAAATCGCAAACGCAATCGTCGCGGGCTTTAATGGATTTTTTTTTTAATAAACGATCTCTCGTATCGCCAGGCACATATCGTATGCATATACGTGGGGAAGTCCTTGAGCACGCCATGCAGAATTTACATCAACAATAACGGATAATGCCTTAAACTTATTTGAGGTAAGTAAAAAATGTATGCATGCCCACAAGCATTTATAACGTTCATATATGTACATACTTTATGGTCTCTGTGGCCTGGCCCAAGGCATTTGGCGCTGAACAGAAGAAGAACAACAAAAAGCGCGCCAATATATCGCAGCGCGGATATAATGCAATTTGTGTGTGAACTTTTTAATGTAGTTTTTCACACACACACACACACACACACACGCATGCACACAGACACAAGCGCCAAAAATATGCACAACGAAACAGATAGCCAAACAGGACGCACATGAGCTTATCAAACATGAATATTTACGTACGCCATCAACAACACACAAAGAACGCTTTACCGGAAATGGACAAACGAGACGTCAACGATGCGGCAACGCCAGCCACGAGCAGCCAACGAACGGTAACTGAGCGCCATGAGCGCCATGTTGTCCATTTAAAAGGCGCGCTTCCTGTGTGCGCTGTTAAGCTTAACAGTGGCTGTTAAGCGACTGTTGTTCGTTATGGGACAATGGGCATGCAGAAGGAGTTGTTTGTGTGTGGGCCGGTGACAACAAAGCAAAACAAAGTGAAACTTTTTGACAAACTTTTATTGCAATACGTTAGCAGCTGTACGCTCACCCCCAATTGTATATCCGAGTATTTAATACGGATATAAGCGCATGGACACATTAAAATTAGCACAAAGAAGGCAACTAATTAAATGGAATGAATTTACAAAATGCTCTCTGGTGTGTAACTGAAGTAAATAACTAATAAAACAACTAGTACACACTCAGCATGGCAGCATGAGGAAGCGGTTAGCCGCAGGAGCAAGCACTGACAGCTATTGAATTTCATAGCATGTCAAATGCATTTTTTACAATCAAGATTCTATATTGTTGAGCTGTTAAGTGAAATAGCGTTCCGGTTACTGCGGACAACAAGCAACAACGCAATAACTGTCCGGTAAGCCCCCAAAATGGGCAGGTGTCGGTAAAGCGGCATCTTCAGGGCAGGTCGCGCTCACATGCTGTTGGTTTTGGGCCACTAGAGTTGAACTTTTTAATGGTGCGACGTTAGTGGGACCTGTGTCCACTGCTGTGTTGGTTCTTGGCTATTGATTTTTACTTTTCAAATAAATTGGTTTCGTTTGTCTGCGCTGCTATTTTGCTGTCGACAGCTGCCCTACTCCCGGCTTGGCTAGCCAAAAACTTTTCTATAGCAATTATTGTTGGAGATTATTTTTCATTCGGTCGCCTCTGGACTGCATTGAGCTGTCACCGCCTCCAGCTCCAGCGGCAGCAGCCACTATTGTTATTAATATAGCCTGTGCATTTCTGGCGAACCAGAAAAATTGCATTCCAAATGAAAAGTGATGTCGTAGATGACCATCACAAGCAGTTTTCTCTTTTTTCTTAAACATGCAAACACCATGCCCTACTGCTTAAAGCACTCTAACTGAACGCATCAGAAAATTCATTTTAAATGAAATGCTAAAGATTATGGCCGAGTACCCAAATAATAATAATAATAAAGAAAAACCACCCTTTTACCCCAAAACCCTTTTGCTTGTCATTCTGGCCCCCACCAAGCCACTTTTAGCTTAATTGAAATGCTTGTATTTTGCCTACCATTTTTTTCTAGCCATTTCCGAGTAGTGTTTGAGCCGTGTTATTTTCGGGCATTCGCTCGCATATTTTGCCGGCTACGTGACACATGCCGTTAACATAACCAGGCCCGTGTCCCTCTACCTCCACACTTGAACGGAATCTAGCCAACAGTGACAAAACAAAGCTATTTTTTAAATATGAGCACTTGGGGTTCCATACACCACGCTGGCGAATACAAATGGCAGCCACTCCAGAGAGAGACAGCGAGAGATCTGTTCGCATTACAACCAAACCACCAAAGGCTGCTCCTGCTACCCAGATAGAGTTTCCATTTCCCTCCTGCAGCCCCTGTGTCTATTTACGGCTCTGTTGTTATGGGTAAATGCTGGAATTTTATGCGCCGTAGTCGGCCTAATGGCGGACATAGAAGAACAAAAGCAACAATTGGTATAGTTGATAATAAAAATCACATATTGTTGTGCATAAGGTGCATACTTTGTTGTGGTTGCTTGGGCTTATCCACTGGGTAGCCCATCCAAAATCACCTTGAACAAGTTATTTTATTAACAGTTCTGATTGTTATTATAAACCAGGTCTAGCCTTCGACGATGTTAACTAACAAATGCTCTGTCTATGCCGTTGGCATAAATACAGACATGCAGGCATTCATAACATTGTGGAGCTAAACTAAAATATTTTGTATGGTTATTCAATTGTAAAAAGAGTTTGATAAAAAAAACACAAAACCTCAGAAAATTCTTTTGTTTCCACAGATGTCTACTTCTAAATCAAAACAAGCTAAATTAAATATTCATATATAAGTATAACAACAACTGATAGCAGCACGTCTATTTGAAAGTGTATACACATCCTGTCCAGATACTGGCACACTCTTGTAAAGCCCAGCATAGCAAATTAGGAACGCTTTTGTCGTCCAGATAGGGCCCACATTTCCACAAAGCATTTATCATCAAGTTGAAAATAAAAATGTTAAATAGAAGTTTTTTGATTACACAGCGCTCTTTGTTTTGCCAGGGAGTCAAACGACAAACGGCAGCATCAGCATTCAAGCGCGAGCACCTGTGCGAGGCGGGGTGGTAGGTGCAGGAGCAGGAGGCGGTGGAGGAGGGGAACGGCCGAAACATTTAAATAACGATTGTGTTTACCTTTCGTTTCCAGCCCTCTGAACGGCCATTTGCATAAGTGTCGGCAAACGTTAAAAATATTTATGCAAAAATCAAGCAAATATTTGAATTAATTATATATGGAACACGCACGTTAATATATATATATATATATGTAAGTATATAAATTCATGAGTGTTTATTTGTACAAATTTATGCTCACACGCATGTAATGGACACCCACGCACTCTGCTCTCATATACTTAATTCCCTCATGTGCCTTAATCTTTTTAATTAACTACTCGTATCCGCCAAAGAGCATGTCTAATTGAAATGGGGAGACTGTTCGCTGCATCAACGGACTCCCATTGCCACAATTCGTTGCGTGCGTGTGTGGGTGTGTGTGCGCGAGTGTGTGCGTGTAAGCGGACGTGTATTAATTTTCCTTTTAGGTTCTTAATTAATTTTCATTTTCTCAAAGAACTATAAAACGCTGCCACACAAAGCATTTGCTTAAATACTACGAACAGTGATCCCTGACTGCATATTTTGTAGTTCCTTTAACATTTTTTATCAGCCTTTTTTTCCCTGTGGTTCCACTGTGCAGATTGAATACTCATGCTGTTGGGGTAGCGCACTAGGCAAGGCTTTATCTATGGTCCGCTGGCGGGGTTTTAGTGGTTTCTCGTCTGGCATTAACACACTAATTAAGTTTTGCGCAACTGGTAATGAATTGGCAGGAAATCACGTCAATTAGCACCGGGTAATCTCGAAACTTTACGATGATGTCCAATAGCTTATTTGTACATATCAGATTTATTTTGATGCGACAATTGATGCTAGAACGGTTTTACTTAAGTTAGGGCTTAGCTCTAAGTCAGTTCGATGTCTCAGTTAAATTTGACGGGCGCGCACCTCACGATCGAGCACCTCCTCGGGCGTGGGATGCTGCCGAATGAATTCAATGGATCTCAGAATATAATCCGGGATGGGTGGTGGCGTGGGCAACAGATCTGATTGGGGCTGGAATCCATTTTCATCGGCCACATAGCTTAATTGAACGGGAATCCCTTCGGGTGAATCATATCTATAAAATCCCTTTGCATAAACTGCGCCCTGGCCTTGCTCCGATACGACTGTGTTCTCGCTATTTTCAATCTCGTAGGAGTAGCTGCCATCCGTATCAGCCTGTGTGTTGAATTTGGTTATCTGAGCATCTGGTCCTGGGCGTGGAGCGGCGGCAACGCAAGCCAAAAGTGCAGCGAGCAGGAACTGTGGAGATCAATACGTCAGGAGTAAATGCAAGAGTTTTTCAAAAACGTTCATTGGGCTACTTACAAGCCTATACATGGTGTTGCTGGTGTTAGCTTTGGATGTAGGTCTTAATGTGAACTCTGTGTCCATGCCCTACAGTATTTATAGTCTACCAAAATACAAGCCTTCAATATTAACAATAGGCGTTCAATATGCAAATTGAACATGCGAAGTAACCCAGTTTAACGACCTATTTAGTAATATATTAGTGGGCCGAACACCGAACTATCAGGCAGAAACAGCGACGCTTTAATACACTTACCATCGATTTTTTGTCAGATTCTACATTTATGTCTCATAGAGGCACGTCAAAAATGTTTACAAAATTGATTCTTTTTTATTTTAACTGAAACATACTCTATTAACTAAAAATAAATTATATAGCTCTTAATCTACAGCATATAGCTCTACTATCTGTATTGCATTGCCAAGTATCTTGGATACTCTTTTGACCCCGACTGGAGGCAGTGTATTGAAATGTTGCTTCAAACACTGCAAAACGCTCAAGAGACAATAACAAACCAATAGACACATAAATAAGTATGTTAATTAAAACGACCAGACAAACAGCAGCTGCAACTTGAATGTTGCAACATCCATCGAAACGAGTCAATCCAGTCAAATGAAGCTGTAGCACAAATTAGCATAAGACCAGCGCAACAACATTAGCAACGAATCTATTAACTTTTAATTAAATTTACCCAAAATTGATACAAATGCAGATACTCTTCAACGTTAAAGCGCCTTGTAAGCGCGGGATTTATGTGCGATCTGGGAGCTGGCGAATAGAGCTGGAAGCCATATGGCCACGATATGGTGCGTGAGCCTTGGGTAGTTGAAGTAAAAGCAACGCCATTTGTACATAGTATAAACAACAATATTAAATTGTATTTTTTCTTTTTATAACATTATTATTATCTCTCTGGCAATAAATGTCAACGTCAGCGAGCCGACAAAGGACACAGCGCCCAGGAGCGGCCAGCTGAGCATGTATGTGCGTGTGTGTGTATATGTATATGTATGTACAGTGCGTATGTGTATGAGGCATGTGCGTAGGCGTTGGCGTTGGCGATGACATCCCTCAGCTCCAGAGTCGAAGTCAACTACATAGAGCCAAAGTTGTTGCCGGTGTTTGTTTGCCCATGTTCGTTGCTTCAGCCATGCAATAAACATATGCAAAAACACGAACACAAGCAGGGATGGAGAAGGGCGGAGTTGTCTGGACTTAAACTACATGATGAACATGAACAAGCTAATGCGGGGCAACTGCCAACAGCAACCAGCTACAAGCACAAGACTGCAGCAACAGCAGCAGTCGTGCCGTGTCGTGCAGTTCAGTAATTTAAATCTTCTTCTCGTATGGCAGACCAGATGCAGGCGCCTGCAGGAATTGATTGGCCTGCTCGCCGTATCCATTGCCGCCGCCCTGGCCGTGATTGTACTGTCCCTCATCGTTCTCCTCGGGATGTTCGCGATTCCATTCCAATGACTTGATAATGGCCTCAGGAATGGGATGTGGCGTCGGCAGATGCTCGCCCTGTGGCTGGAAGCCATTCTCATCAGCTGTGTACGTCAATTGAATAAGCTGACCCTCCGGAGTGTAATACTGCGATGAGCCGCTGGCATAGTAGCCGCCGACGCCCTGCTCCTGCTGCGCTATGCCATTGCTCGTCTCGAATTGATACTTATAGCTGTTATCGTCCTGCTTCAGCTCGTTCACAAAGCTGCGAATCTCGGCGTGCGCATCGGCCGAATCCGACGGCGCAGACAGCACGGCGCTCACAAAGACGGCAACAGCAAGTGTGACGAGATGCTGTAAATTGGAAGAAGAAAAAAATTATGGATTTGTGGCTATCGTTAGTGTCCACAGACCGGTACTCATCCTAATTTGACTTACGATTTTGAACATTTTGCCAAGCTTGGGTTCTGGGTTTTTGGTTTAGTTTGTTGTTTAAAGGCTAAGAGCTAAACTATGTTTGATGCCTGACATTGAGTTGAACCAAGTTTTATATACCCTCAACATTTGACCCAACGAAAGTAGGAAAGTAGTGTGCGCAACCATTAACCAATGATGATGATTATGGGGTTAGGGGCCATCAACAACATGGTCTACATCCAAATCCCAGCCACGAGCTACAAACGGCTGCATTTCCAATTATCACAGCTCCATATGGCGCTATATGGGCTTAAACTAATCAACTATAATTTCTATGAATATTTCGCTTTCTCACTCTGCTCAATGAAAATGAAACCCAACACCGAAATCGAAATTAAAAGTTGCCCGGCAGCACATACGCTTTTTTCCCTTACGTCGGCGATTGGGCAAAACGCCCGGGGTTCAAAAAACTCAGCAGGTACAAGCTCTGCGCATCGCTGCGGCTGCGACTATTAAAGTAATTAAGTGTTGGTGTTAATTCATTAATTACAGTTGCTTTACGTTAACCCACTCACATACATATTCGCTCTATTCACTCCAGACCAACAGCGCTCCCCCTCCGCACAACTAATGTACCCAGCTGTTTCTCAATTTGCTTCTCTCGACTGAATGCGATGTTCCACATTTAAAATGCGTTGCTTTGCTCTATTTAATTAAATATATATGTTGCTTGTATACATTAAGTAATTTGATCGATACACATGTTTATATCACTCTCTGCAAAAGGATAGTTCCAGCCAGCTTACATCTTTAATGTAACTACAATTTAGTTTTGATTAGCTTACAACTTTTATTGATTTGTCCATGAAAGCAATTAATTTATATTACAATCGCTAATTTCGGTATTTGAAAAAAAATACAAAAGAAGCGATCTGTGGGGCATTGATTGCTTACTTTAAGCCAGGGACGGTTCAGCTCTGACAAGAGTTAGGCCCCGTTTCAATAGTTCAAGCTAGATATTACGACTTTCAGGTATAAAATGTTAGGCATAAAATAGGCATAAAGTATTAGACATACAAGCCCAAAACAAAAGGCGATCTTTCTGTTTGCGACTCGAACCAGCTTCCCTCCTTGAGGCTCGATACAAAGCCCAGCTTCCAGATACATGAACACAGGTTGGGCTTCTTGCTTTGCCTCGTATATTCAAAATCTTAAGAAGATTATTTAATTTATGCTTCGGAGCTGGCACCCCTCAATCATTTGTGTATAACATTTTACTTCTGCTAGGATTATGAATCATTTGTTTTTTGGGCTTATAATAAAACATAAATATACCTGTTTGCAGACTTGATATACTATAAATATCTAATTTTACTACACTAACTGAATCATGCTGCCATATTCATGCACGTTTCATGCTCGAAAATACACTTACCTATACTATAACACTCAAATCCCCCATTGATTGAAATTTTACACTTGCCCCGCATGTCTTTATGGCGCAAAAAACCAGATTTTGAAAAGAAAAGACACAAACGAAAGGTGCGACTTGGTAATTTAATAATAACAAAAAAAGACAGCAATTAGTGCCAAAAACATTGGTTACTTTACGAGATCAAGGTCGGTGTTAGAATGTCTTTTTTTGAAAGTAGTTGACATTGTGAGGCTGTTAATCAGACGAGCCCACATGCTCGCCTATGACCCATGTGAAAGCTGTCAGCGCTAATGCGCTGGATAAAGTTATATTGGTAATATTTAAGCTACACCTCTTGACAGCTGCATGCCGAAAACGACAATGGGACCGAGCTTATAAAATGAACATAAATTAAGTTAAAATACATATGCAGCGACTGACCATATGTGGAGCATATAAAATAAATATAAATATTCAAATGACAAGCCATGATCTGCAGCCTCAAAGACTTTTATGATGAGCATCGACTCGAATGGAGACCGAACAGGAACGAGTATTGAAAGTGCGAACACATTAAATGTAGCCCAAACAGATATGCTGTACCCTCGACCTTCAGACAGACCTGTCGCAACCACAGTATTTAGGTCAATTATTTTTAGCCGGCAACGGCAGCTGAACGTGCAGCAAGTGTCTGCTTTTCATGTGAGTTTAATGCGCCCAAAGTCGGGATTGATGGGTCCGACTAAACGCTGGCCAACCGGCCGGTCGGTTGCTCCAGCGGAAGCCACTTAGGCAGCATCGGCTGCGCAAGGAAGTGCGCCGAGAATCGTAACAAGTTTTTCTTTTATTTAAAGTCAGCCAAGCGGCAGACGGCACCCGACCAGTTGGAGCCGAACAGCCGGTTCCGACAAAAGGCAAAAAGGCAAAACAAGAAAAAGCCAAAATCATATAAAGTAAGAAGATTATGTTGCCTTTAAGCTCAACTCTGCCTTGCTCTGCCGGGGCACTCCTGACTCTGTACCTCTGCCTCATGCCCACATGCACGAATACGAGTATTTATTAAAAGCATTCACAAATCTTTTAAATGGAACAGCATGTAGCTGATGCTTATTTCGGTGAGTTGCTTCGGTGGTTCATTCGCGCTAGTGATGCACCACTAAATCACGCCAACCGGCAGATTGAGAGTGCTGCAGATATCTTTAAGAGCAGGCAGGTATGTCGGAACAGGTAACATGGGTTCTTATTAAATACACCTTTTTCTTTTGGCATCTTAACTTATTGGATTTTATAGCACAACTAATTTTAGAAGAATGTGTATTGCTTACAAGGATGTCCATATAATATTTAAAAAATCAATATTTATCTAGCTGTAGTTCTCAAGCTCACATATCCATAACCTGCCCAACTAGGCCGAATTTCAAGGAATACCCTCTGATAATTATTATCACACCTTAAGAATTAACTATCAATGTTATTTAAAAATTATTTAATTTATCCAATTTACTAATTAACGATTGCGGAAACCAATCAGCCTAATTTATTTGCACGTAATTAATACCTGCATGCATATTAATATTAGCCATTCGGTTAATTTTCAATTAGCACAAACTAATTGAAACTAGGTTATATGGAATGATTACTCGTGACTGGACATTCGTGAGACACGAGGTGCATCTTTAGCCAGTGCAATATAACCAAAAGATAGCCCAAAACATGCCCAACCCTGGCGTATGCGCAATATTTGTTGCCAGCCAAACGTCGACACATGCTGCGGCAAGGTCGTTCCAGGCTATTTTGTGGACCTTTGGTTTTTGGGGAATGCTTTTTGATTTTGTAATAAATGAATGCGCTGATATTTAATCGACTTTTTAAGTAGTTTGTATCATTTATAATCAACTTTTGTATATGATTTATTGTACGTGCTTGGGATATGCTGTTGCCTTAAAGTAGAATATAAGTAAAAGCAGCTCTTTAAAACTATTTCATAAACTATTTGCCACATAGAAACATGTGCATGAAATATTATGTTATGAGCTGAGCGCGGAAGCTTGGAATGTGCTAATGAAATAATTATCCGCCAAAAGTTAACAATTTGAAGAACTTGGAAAACCGGCAAAAAGTCAAACAAAACCGCACAAGCATACAATTTATACAATTTATGGACGCAATTCCCCCCCAAAAAAAAAAATTGTACCAACCGAGCCGACATCATGTATGTGTGAAATTCGCGGCAGGGCCGACGATGAATATGGCGATATGGATGTCTTTCGAGCGCCGCAGTTCAGGTTCAATGCTAAAAACCATAAAACTTGTTGCCATGATTTTTTTTTCCTTTTTTGGCTGGTAATTGGTAAAGTGACTATAAATGGAGGGGTACTCGATTTTAGCAGTATTCATTCTCACATCGACTGCAAAGTGACAACAAGCACAGATCCCAGCCCAACATGAAATTCGTGAGTACACAAGCTCGGAGCAATTGGAGGAGCGATTCTCACAACCAACCTTCTGTCTTAGTTCATCCTAACCGCAGCAGTCGTCCTAGCCGTCGCCCAGGCACGGCCAGACTCCTTCGATGCCCAGGCCGAACTGCGTGAGTTCAAAAGCGACCTAAAGGAGGACGGCAGCTACGAGTATCGGTTTCAGACCTCGAACGGCATTGCCCAACAGGAACAGGGCGCGGGCGGTCACTATGCGAGCGGCTCATCGGCGTACTACAATCCCGATGGTCAGCTTATTCAATTGACGTACACGGCTGATGAGAACGGCTTCCATCCACAGGGCGCTCACCTGCCCACGCCTCCACCGATTCCGGCTGCCATACTCAGATCGCTGGAATATATTCGCACCCATCCGCAGAAGGATCAGCGACAGGGTCATGTACGCTTCTAAGTGTCACCCTTGCAACTATCCTAGTTTTCATTAATTCATACAATTTTAACTCTTTAAACATTCTGGAAGCGTTGAGCTGTCTACAGGATGACTACGTTGTACCAGCTTATTTTTGAGCTGCTTGGAAATAAATAACATCTTCTATTATACTTTGTATTGTTTAGACAATTTCAATATGGAACAACTTAACTAAATCCCAGTTAATAGCTCCAACTATGGCATTTTCATATCTGGAATTTTAACAATGCTTTTGTTAGTTGTCAAACTCATCCGAATGACGAGTCAGATCGTAAAAGTCATTTAATTAGCATGCGGCACATTGTAAAGAAGAATGGCTTATAATAGGATAGTTTTCTTATAGTTCGCAACGCTATAAAATTGATGAGGTAAGTGTTTAGTGCAGCTCGGCTTCCTGGTTAAGCCAAACTAGTTCTATATGTCAAGCGCTTGAAGCCAGAATTTAAATGTTATAAGTCGAATGCATATTTCCCAAACAACGTCTCGTATTTCAGTTAGTGCATATGTTTAAAAAATAGTAGCTTAAATATGCCAATAAATAAACATTAGAATCTTGCTTTCTCAGACAAAAGAACCGTAAATATATTCTGTGTTTATTACGCCAATAATAACATTTAAAAATAGCGTTTAGAAAATGTGTTTCAATCTACACTGGGCTGCAAACTCATCCAAATGGAAAGAGCCTCTGGATTAACGTAGACAGGGTATTATATGTTCAGCGCATGTGCGCTGCAAACTTAAAAACTAAACCGTTAGTTGAAGTATGACACTACTATGCGATTCTCAAAAGCTTAAGTAAGCTCTACTGCTTGCTTTGTCATGGATTGACATGCTTTGATGAGTGGATAAATGCATGTGTTTAAATATGCATATAATGTATATTTATATTCGTGCTCAAAAATTATATTTCAAACTACGCTCAGCTATGAACTCACACATATAAAAAGACCTACTGCCTTGTGATAAAAATGGTATAATTTGTATATTTACATTTGAGCATTTTTTTAAAGTTAATCTTAAAGAGCTACACATTTTGTAAGATAGTGTTATTTAAACTTGTATCTTAACTTTTTGTTTATTTGGAGTGTTAGAAAAGTTTCAGGCGTCAATTTAGAGACCTATTCAAAATCTGTGTGAACTCTGCGTTTGAACATGCGGCACTAATCTGAATGTTAAAATTCACGCAAAAAATGAAGGCACTTTATCATTCATAAACTAGTTTGTAGACTTATTACCATTAGCATATGTTGAGTATGGGCGTTTGATAAGTCTGGGTCGCTTAACTGAATGACCATAACTAATAAGAAATATATTATACATTGTGCATAGTAAATCGTTTGTTTAAGTTTGTTTGATATATTTAAATGAAATGTTAGTATGTCATTTCTGCCACAGTATTCTATATTTATACGACCTTTTAGTACAGGCTTTTATTGTTTTATTTCTTTTCTTTTATTTCGGACACCATCAAAGAATTTATTAGCCTGATAGGTGCTATAAAAACTAGCCTACAAATAAAATTCGTTAATCAGCTAATCCATCAAATTGAACACTCAAATAAATTTGAGCCGCCACAGGTCATGTCAGGTTTTAGTTTACGACATAAATCCTGTTTTGATATCTCATTTTGGCTATTAAATTATCTCAATGTTGTGGACCAATTTGTTAAGCTCACATATTTAGCGCCTCTCCAGCGCAGCGGTGCTCAGTGAATTAAAATTCTCTGCCCAAAACCGGACAATGAAAATGGAAATGAAAAAGTAAAACCAAGCCAAGCCAAAAAAAAAAAAACTGTAGCATGCGCCGGTCTACTGAAACCATAAATTATGCTAAATATTTATAGCGAAATACACAGACGCACACATTAATTTAGTCAAATACTTTTTTGGGTGTGCCAGGCGGACCCCTCCCCGGTCTCTCACAGCAGCGGGCCAGGGACTGGCTCGACATTGACACTGCTGCATGCGGCTTTGCCTTGCTCTTCGACGACTTGAGGCGAGGGTAAGCCCACTCACATTGGATGGCTTTGACGTCCAAGCTGCCGTCGCTGCCTCCGCTGCTGCCGCCGCCGCTGCCGCTACCGAGATGCGTACACACATTCTCCGGGTTTGGCCAATTCAGGCTATTGGCTGATTTTATTGTTATGGTTATTTAGATTAATTTCCTGAACATCGACGTACAAACTGTCGAAGCGATCAGGTTTTTGAGAATATCGTATCACACGTCGGTTTTTAGTATAAATTCGCTTGCCATCTACCACCAAGTCAGCACACTATCTTGTCTACCAGTTGAAGACACACACAACCTCCACAGCCTTAAAGATGTTCCGCTTCGTAAGTTTCAAAGTTGCAAAATACGAATAACAAGACCTGCTGCTATAACCAAAACTGGCGCATTGCGATATTTTAGCTTCTTGTTGCCTCGGCCTTCATTGCCTGCGCATACGCTGCTTCCCAGAGCGACGCTTATGCCACCGGCAGGAGCGACAGTGATATCCAGCCTGACGGTAGCTACAGGTACTCATATGAAACCTCCAATGGAATCGCTGCTCAAGAACAAGGAGTTGGTGGATACTCTACCAGCGGTGGATTCTCTTACTACTCGCCAGAGGGTGAACTGATCCAGACTTCATACGTTGCCGATGAGAATGGCTTCCAGCCTCAAGGCGCCCATCTGCCCACACCACCACCCACTCCCGTGGCTATTCTTAAGGCTCTGGAATACATTCGTACCCACCCACAATACCAAGAACCAGCCCAGGGTCAACAGTTCGTTCGCCGTCAACCTCAGGTTGTCCGCAAGCCCTTCTTCGGTTAAGAGTTGAAAAGTATTCCAAGTATTTACAAACTAAAAGCTTTCTTAATGTGTACATATGTCTTTTAATAAACGAATTTTATGTGGAGTATATAAACTAAAACTTGAATATTAACTTGTTCTTGCAAATATTCTTGTTTTTACCAAAACATTTGATGATACTTCACCAATCATAACTCCACATAATAATTTTAATTAAACTTTTTGTCCTGACTTAACTTTTAGCTTATTGGTAATTAATAGCCCAATGAGTCTATTGTCAATTTAAAAATAATATCCGCCCTCCTCTGCGATTCTCAAATATTCAACTTAGGCATGCCCATTTCGATATAAGTGCAATTTTTGTGATGTTATTAACAGTGTCTACAAGCTAAAAGTGTAATGTGAATTTAAAATGTTCAACGATTACCCTCCTCTGTGATTCTCAATAATTCAAGTAGGACCTACCTATTGGCATGTAATATGAGTCAACTTTTTTGTGATATTATGAGTAAGTTATATGTTTTAGTAGCTAGGTATATGGTCATTGAAATTTAAACAAGAAAACTGTATATGGATATATATTTAATATACCATATTAAAAATAATTTTTAGTTGAAAATTCAATGCCCATCAGCTTATTACTAAATTTAAGCATAGCCTGGTCTGGAGTAAAACTAACGCAACTTTAATCGAAATTGATTAAAAAGTAATTTAAACACTTAGTGAACCCTGTTGGGCTCAATTTGCGTAACAATCAGCAGCTTTTGACAAAATTTACAAGACACGCAAATATTAATCGCATTCAAGTCCATTTTCAGCTTCCACCCTGAGTAAGCGCTCGCTTTTGCATTTCATTAACATCAAAACTGGTAACAGTTGAAAAGCATCTGTCCAATACAGCTGCCCGTGCTGGTTCAACTCAAGTGAGAAATTCGCTGTAGAAGTAAGTATTAAGTAATAATAAATAACATGTAGTTTTGTAACAAATTTGATTTATATCAAGAAAAACCTTGCTCCCAAGTGAAAGAAGTTGCCAGAATCCCAAATATTTCCTAGTAAACAATCTAATCGATATCTGCTTCTAGCAAAAATGTAAAAAAATAACAAATCATTATAGTAAAACGAATAACTAACGAAATTAAAAAATATTTATCATTTACTAGCTTAATCTAAGCACGGTGATGCGTTATACTACATTATCTTATTTCTTGAGCTGAACTCTTGTGAAAGGATGCTCCTCGATGTATGCCAATGCCCTCAAGATGTAATCTGGAGTTGGAGGAGGTGTTGGCAAATGATCGCCCTTTGGCTGATAACCATTTTCATCAGCTGTGTACTCCAGATTAATGGGTTGTCCATCGGGAGCTATGTATTGTACGGATCCTGTAGCATAGGCACTTCCCACTCCACTCTCTGCGGCCTGAATGTTGTTTGAAGTCCCATATTCATAGCTATAGCTGCCGTCCTCATTAATCTCAGATCTATATTTGGTGATAACGGCATCCGACTCGTCGACTGCACCGCTGCTGCCGATAAGGCATAGGGCCGCAAGGATAAGAGTCTGGAGGAAGATGAAAATACTGTATTCACTTATAACACAATTTAAACAAGAACTTACGGCTTTGTACATTTTGATTTGTGATTTGCTGAGCTCGGGCTATTCGTAGTGCACAGATGGCTACTGCAGGTGATACTGGTGTCGAAATCAAATAGACGAGACTTTTATATCAGCCTTAGCTGGAACTGTGACCTACACCTACAACACAAGGGCTCCATCGTAAGTATGCATATTTTAATATTTGTTTTTATGGCACGGAATTATTAATTTACGCATTTCAAATATGAAATTGACCGCGTTCAACGAACGAACGAACTGCAGTGGCATATTTGTGTTTATAGAAAAAACGTAGTTTAATTTTACGTTTTTCTATGCTATTGTCTTACGCATAAAAAAATGCATATTTATTCCATATAGTAAAGGCCATAACTCTTTGGCCCATGCATATGCTCATCATGTATAGGCTATTCATCTTCATAAGATATTATGCTAAGCTTTAACAACAATGCCTTATATTTTAGATATCTAGGTAAGTCTATTTTATATTAGGTGCAGAAAGTACTAACTTAAATTTGCATACTTTGGTCTGTCGATATTTTAAGTTTGAGACAGCAACAAAAATAATTTTATTGCCTCTTTGACAACAATATCTAAAGAATTTACAGCATGGCTATGGCTACCAAACATTTAAATCTATCAATTCACATACATACGTTTGTGCACTACAGTAAACAAAGAAACTTCTTTGTAAAACATTGGATTCATTTAATAACGAAAGTAGAAATTTTTTTTAGCTAAAGTTGTTGTTTTTTGTTTGTAATAGACAATAGAATTGTTTTAACCAAGGCAACTAAGTTGTGCAAGTTATTGCTACGTTTGCGTTATAGCTTTATTAAAATCGCTTGCGGTTTAAACAAACAGGCAGTTAAAAGCTTACCCGGCCGATAATATATCAATTTTAAATAAAATACTAGTTGGTATTTCCAATTGTCATCGGATGTAAGATCGAGTAACTATACTGACATCGCACAGCAAATGTTGAAAACCAACCGATATCTATATCATTCGATAGTCGCGAAATCATTACAGCTTCATACAAACATTATGGGTATTTACTAATAAATTGACAATCTATCAAAACCATGTTATTTCTGAAAAGTGACTTAGCCATTGTCTAAGTTAGTTAATAGCAACCTTTAGTTATCGCATGACAAAACAGCGTTGAAAAGTGTAAGAACATCGCAGTCTTTCGATTAATAAGAAATCGACTAAGCAAATAAATTTGGAACTATCGATAGTCTCATTGAATGCTGAGCAGTTCTTCAAAGCAACCCTGATTATCAGGCCTGATATCGCAATAAAAGAATAAAGAAGTAAAACGTAAGAACTGCATTACTGCCATAATTAATTTATACATAAACTAAATAATGCCAAATTATGCACAGTGTAAAAACAGAGAAGTGAAGACGTGAAATACATATGTTTTCTATAAAATATGAGACGTTAAACTTGATATATAAGCCTTTTGCACACCAACAATTTTTCTTACAAGCGCGCCATTTTGTTTTTGGACTTTCTACTTCTCGCTGTGTTTTCTTTTGTGCAAAATAATAAAAACGTTCCCGTTTGCCCACAAGAATATAAAACTGTCAATTGCTGGCTTAATAACCACGCAAATATGTAGATGGGAAGCATTTACAACAAAAACGCGCGACAAATGAAAATAAATATGTATGTATGTACATACCTAAATAAAGGCTGCTGAAAATGTCAATACGATGAATAAACGAAGCAGCGATTAGTACGACGTCGGTTGTGGTCGTGCCTGTGGCAGAAGCAGAGGGTCAGACGCGCTAATTACGTCATAACAATCAAAGAAAATTCAAGGTCTCCCTAGCGCACATCAGACATGAAGCCTATGTATTAGATTTCGCTACGTTTTCATTAAAAATAAAACTTAAGGCAAAAAACAGTACACAGACTTTCTGTTAAATTTTCGAGCATCTGTCAGTGTATGTATATGTTGAGTGTTTACGTATGTGTGCGTGCGTGTGCTATTCGCGACTGTATAATTACACACATATACAGTTATTTTGTTGTTGCCAGTGCTGTTTTTGTTGTAAGCAGCCTGAGCGAGCGCGGCGCAGCCTGTGATACAGAAAGAAAGAGCGAAAGAGTGCGCGCGTAGGCATGAAGAGATAAGTTGACACTAAACCAAGAAAAAGAAGAAGAAAATGCTAATCCAAACAAATTTTTATATTGCTCTTATCAAATAAAAAAATATACATATATGTGAATGTGCTTTTATGTAAATGTGTGTACATGCTTATAATATTTATTTTGCATTTATTCCCATTTTAGCAGTACATAAGATGCGTGCATCTGTGTATGTGTAGAACGGTGCGGCATAGAAACCGCCGCCAAGCGCTAAAGTTCATATCTATGTATACGCATATGCATGTGTACATATATAAAAACAGACAGTGAGGAGAACAACAACAACAACAGCAGCAACAGTTAAAGGCGCCCCCAAAAAAAATATTGTACATAAATTTTAATTAAAGCGAAAAAAAACGCAACAGCAACAACACCGAAACAGAAAGGAGAAAACAAAAATCAATAGGCGATAAAAAGTGCTGTTATCAGCGTGTTTTCGTCATTACGCTTTGGAATTGAAATCGTTTTCGGTTTGCCTTGGCATTGTTGGTATCTCGTTGGTATTCCGACATATCGTTGTTGCTGCCGCGAAACAAAGTACGCGGCAGCGGCAACAGCATCGCTTACTGTTGTTTGGGTAGTCGCTGGCACCGACAATGTCTGTGCAGCAGTTCTGCCTGCGCTGGAACAATCACCAGCCAAACTTCATATCCGTCTGCTCTTCCCTGCTGCATAATGGGACGCTGGTGGACGTCACGCTTGCCGCGGAGGGCCGTCAACTGCAGGCCCATAAAATAGTGCTCTCCGCGTGCAGCTCGTACTTTCAGGTGAGTGAAAGTCCTTCAGTGATGTTTGACGATTATTTAAGAGTGCATCTGCTTTGTTTGACTTGTAACAGGCGCTATTTACGACGAATCCGTGCCAGCATCCGATTGTCATACTGAAGGACGTGCAGTACGATGATCTCAAGACAATGGTGGATTTTATGTACTACGGCGAGGTGAATGTGTCGCAGGAGCAACTGCCGCACATACTCAAAACGGCCGAGATGCTCAAGATAAAGGGCCTGGCCGAGATGCCCACGGATCCGGCCAACCTCACCAAATCCGACAGCAAGTCCTCCAGCGAGGCCGCCGAGCTACTTGGACAAGCTGGCGCCAATGTTGCTGGCACTAACGCTGGCGTGGCCGCTCCAAGTCTGGGAGCAGCTAGCGGTAGCAGCAGTGCCGGCGATTCGCTTTGGAGTAGTAGTGAGGCGCAGCAGTTTCAGCAGCATCATCAGCAGCAGCTACAGCAACAACTGCAGCAGCAGCAAGCGCAACAACAGCAGCAGGCTCAACAACAACAGCAGCAGCAACAACAGCAACAGCAGCAGCAACAACAGCAACAACAACAGCAGCAGCAACAACAACAACAACAGCAGCATCATCACCACCATCATCATCACCAACCACAACAGCAGCAGGGCAGCCAAGCACAGGGTTCGCAGACGCATCACCATCAGCTGAGGCGAACGCCATCACCGCTAAGTGCTGGCACGTCGCCGGCCACACGGCGCAAGCGCTTGCGAAAATCCTCAAATAACGGTGAGTGCGACTTGGGTAAAGAATCGTCGGCCAGATCGTGAATATAGTGGAAGCAGAGTAGTTCAACTAATCTATTTTTGGCTATCTCTGGCATTTAACAGGCTCTGGTGATCGAAACAACACGGAGGAGCAGCACAACAGCTCCTTGGATGCAGCTGGCGCCGCTGGTAATGCTGCTGGGATAAGTCTGGCACAGATGAGTCAAATGTCTTTTGGCGGTGGAGCCGGCAGCAATTCGACCGCGGCACTGGGCAGCCTTTCGGGCCACTCGATGCATGCTGCCAAGCTACTGAAAGAATCGGCGAGCGCTGAGCTAGAGCAGCAGCCGCAGGACTCGGATCTGGACGACGCTCACGGGCACATACATATGCAAATTGTAATGAAATTGGTCACGTTAAATTTATATCCAACTCTATGCATTTTAGTAAACTAATTTTCTTCAATATTTATTGCTCAACGTGCAGAAACCCGAAGTGGACATCGGCAGTGTGAATCAGTCGATGCCTCTGGACATTTCTGGCACCACGACACCATCGGAACACGACGCACCCAATTCACAGTCATCACACTCTGGTAAGTTAAAATCCTAAACTAAAACTTGTCAAAAATAAATCGCACAGTAGAAAAACGTTAAGCAAAGATATCCAAACTTTTATAATTAAATACAAATGTTTGTGCGATTTATTTTAAAATTTTACCTTAGATGCAAAATAGAAAAAGAAACACTAACATAAAGATCATACGCCAGTTCATGCTTCATTAAGGGGTTGTAGTTTCTATTGGCAACAGGCTGTCCGTACGAGACGAGTCGAGTCGAGGAGTTCTACTTGGTCCCTGCGTTTTGTGTTTTTGTTGTTGATTTTGCTATCATTATCATTATTTCATTCTTATGCTCAACTCTAGCTTCTCCTGTTGTTACTCTGCTATCGCTCATTCACATGTCATGCGTTCCATACACACACACACAAACACAGCCAGAACAAAACACACACACTCAAACACATACGTTCAATGAATTTAAGTGCAATCCAAAGCGCTTGGAGAAATGAATGCTAAAGCTAAATATGAAACATAAGCATAAAGACTACCGTTTATCGATTAAGTGCGATTAAAAATAATTGTGTTACATGAAATTAATGCATTTGTATGTACATATGTATATAATTAACTATTGTGTATTCTATTCAAAAATGAAATCCTACCTGAACTTGGGAATGGGAGAGAGCTAGCACAGAGTCCAAAACTAAATAACTGTATTTTACTGATTTGATTTTTTCATTTTGTCAATTTGATTACTAAACTCTTTTGTTTGCCAATGATTATTTTTTTTTTTATAAATTTCCAATTTTATTTTTTGTGGGAAAGCATTTTGAAGAGCGGTTTTCGAATGATAATGATTTAGCATTAGCAATCTTTCTACTACTCGATACCGATACCAATACCATTCTACTATATAAACTGTACTATATCTGTTGTCCAATGGTTTGCCCCTATTTCGAATCTCAGATCTTGGCCAAATGTTGAGCCCCGACCCCAAATTGAGAGTAAATTTATAGAGAGTAAATTTCAATTTCAAACTCCTACTAAAGACAAAACCAATCTTACGCTGTCTCTCTCTCTCTCTCCCCTTCCCAGGTCTGCAGTGGACAGTTGTTGATTCAAACTATTCGCGCTTCTCGATGCCCGCTTGTCAGTCCAACTTGATTGGAAATGGCAACGGCGGCAATCAAAACAGCGGTGCGAATAGCAGTGCCGGCGTCGGTACCGCCGGCACCAACGATCAGCGCCAACAGCAGCAGCAACAGCAGCACGAAGCCCAGCAGCAGGCCACGCAGCAGCAACAACAACAGCATCTGCAGCAGCTGCACTACCAGCAGCAGCAACAGCAACAACAACAGGGCGCTACGGCTGGTCAGGCGTACTCGTCGCAAATCATAACCGTGAATAATTTGGTCAGCGGCTATGCAACGGCAGCGCAAAATTTGTCACCCACGTCACCCAACGAATCCAATATGGTGCAGTCTGTGTACAGTCAGGGGCCGACGCCCACACAGTCGCCGGTGCACTCAGGTGTGGGCGGTGGCGGCGGTGGTAGCAGCGCGGGTGGAAGTGCGGGCAGCGCAGGCGGCGGCGGCAATAGCAGCAGTGGTGGAGGGGGCAGCAGTCAAGTGGTGAAGCGGAAGCGTTCGGTCAACCCGCAAGGCGATGAGAATTTCATTCGGGCTCTAGAAGCGGTACGCACCGGTGGCATCGGATTCTGCAAAGCTGCTCGACTGTACGGCGTGAACAATCGCACTCTCTGGCTGGAGTACAAGAAACGCGGCTACCCGGTGTCGAGGCCCAGCATTAAGGCGCGCGTGGTCAAGCAGGAGCCTAACCTTTCGCCCTCGCCAACACCATCAACAAATCCCGGCGACGATACGACCAACGAAACTTATGATCATCTAACAGCAGCGGCCGTTGCCGCGGCCCAAACGGCTGCGCTCAACATGCAGATACCGCCACAAGCGGAGACGCCGACGCCATCGCTGATGTGCACTCCACATCATGGCAGCGCTGCGGCGGCCACTACAGCCGGTGGCACTAACACGCACCCAGCCATCGGCGTCATGAGCCTCTTCGATGCACGCTACATGGACTCACCAACAAACGTGCACACGATGTCCCGGCAGCGTTATATCGATGCGACGGGAGCCGGTGCAGCCGCCGCTGCCTCGGGGGCGGGCACGATCAACGTTAATCCGGCCGCCGCCATGAATCTACAGAGTATTAACTTCAACTCAATATAGAATACGATTTCAAGTCACATGGGCGTTGTTGCCGCCGCCGCAGCAGGTGCAATGCCTCTGCAGGTGGACCAACTGAGCGGCGGTAGCGGTGAGTCTGCGCACGGGCCAGGGCCAGCCACGTTGCTGCAGGCCGCCGTTATGGCAGCAAGTGAGCCAGAACCAATGAGCATATCAGCCGTGCCCGTCTCGGTCTCAGCAATGGGCACTGCGCATAGCGCAGCGGCTACCGCGTTTATTTTCAATAATTTTGTAACTGTGGCGGCACCACCACCGCCGCCACTGGTTGCCAGCACGCTAGCACCGCTGGTTAACACTGGCCTGCAATACTTAGACAAATCCTAAGATCCCAGGCGTTGCAGTGCAAGGTGTGTAACTCTCGATACAGGTATTAGAGCAACGGCAGCTACTCTAGTGAATTACAGGCATTAGGCATAACCCACGGGGTTCCGAATCGGCAAATGAGTTATGCCATGTCATCAATGGAGGAACGGCAGAACCCACTAGGATGTAGTATCCCTAAAGTTAAGCAGATGTGCCGACAACCGGCACATATGTAATAATTTATAAAACTTTATTCCTTAAGCTACATGTTTCGAGCCGAACATTATTTTTACCATTGTTAACTAAGGAATCGGTAGTAAAGTATGTGTATATGTAACCACAATTTATATTTGTACATAAATTTATACAATTTTATTAGTGTTAATCGTCAAAATACAAAAATGATTTATGTATCGACTAGCTAGCATGTACATATAACTTTTTAAATATAAACTACTTAAAAATGGCCTAATTATTTTCATCATTGATGTAATCCCCTTTAGTCCTGGCACTCGTGTTACAAAAGCAACCTTCATTACGTATACATTCTAAATCGTATAATTTAATATGTATTTCTATAAACAACATATATTTGTGTACAGTTTATGGCCAATCAGTTTTAGTTGAAATGGATGTTTTGTATCTAGTTGACGGGAAATGGGTCTGTCGTTAGACGGATAGTGTTATAATCCGTATAAAATAAACCGTAAGAGAAGTTAACCTTCAAATATTTAATTAAGCCAACTCAATAATGTATAATATATATATATATATATATGTACCAATATATATTATATATTTGTAAATGTACGCAATCATTTTGTATTTTCGATTTTGGGCTGGATTTGATTGTTTTGAACCACCAACCGTATTACCCAAAACCAATGAATATGGAAAGCAAGAATTTGTTTAGAGACTGTTTTTGTTGTGTATTTATCGTGAAACTATCAAACTAATTTCAATATTGGCGAATCAAACGAATTAACAAATCATTCCAATTCTAGTTTCTGTGGAAAATATATCTATATTTCGTTCACTGGATTATACGGTGCTTGGTTTCGTCTCTGTTTGGAGTGCAATTTAACACATACTAGACATATCTTAGAGGGATTCTTGATTTGATTATTTTTGGTTTCATTTGAATGTACATAATGTTTGATGTACGCATACGATTAAATAGGACTAAATGGGCAAGCCATATACGCAATATACAAAACTAAGATAACTCGTAACCACCCAAAATCCTAAATGGAGACTGCAGAAATTAAAGGAAAACGAATAAGAATAATGTGTTTTTAATACAATATACATATATATACATAAAGAAAAATTATATAATAAATATGTATGTAACTAATAGAGAACTTTTTATATTGTCGCAAGGCATTGTAGAAGTCATTTGTAATTGTAACGTAAAACTTTTGGTAATGCATTTTAAATCCTAAAACTAGATGCATAGTTCTACACAGGCCAACAAAAACCAAAAAAAATAAACGAATTCATCAAAAACAACGCAAAAATAGCATAAACAATAATTATGACTAACTCTGTTTCCTACAATTGCAAAAGTACCAATAACTATGGTAGTTGTGTATGTGTGTGTTTAACATATATAGTTATAAAAAATTAAAAAATATATTTAATTATTTACATTTAATGTACTTTTAGTCAGCGGTAGTAAATGAAACGACTGTAAAATAAGTTACGCAAATATGTACGATATATTGTAACTAACGAACGAACCTTTTAGACTCTAGGCTTCGATGTGCAAGAAACGAATAAAATTAAATTAAAACAATAATTAATTGTAAGCCTGCAAAGACACACCAACATAACCCGAGCTTGAGCTGCACCACATACTAAAAGTCCACATTTCGTTTGTTTGCAGAGCCCAGCCCGGCGCATGCCACGCAGCATCATCCAACGCTGGCCATCACCCACAGCCAGGGCACCAATACCAGCAGCAGCAGCGGCGGCAGCTTTGAGCGCACACCGAGCGAAACAGATACGGCCACGGACCTGCAGACATCGCAGTCGACGGCGGTGATGGGCTCCAAACGGAATCGCGTGCTGACGCGACAGCCGCGCGTGAAGCGTGACAGCGACAGTCTTTCGTCGACCAACCAGATTTCGCCGGACACGGCGGCGACGACGCTGGACTTTGATCCGTTCAATGCGGCGGGCGCAGCCAACGCCATAGCCAGGGACTATTCGACGCATCATCATCAGCATCAGGCTCAGCACCATCAACATCATCCTCATCTGTTGAGCGTACCACCTCGAATTGAGCGGCATGCATCTGAGCCAGCGCCTAGCCTGGCTTCCCCGACACCGCACCTGCTAAGTGTACCGGCCAGCACACCATATCTGATTAAGCAACATTCGGATCCACTTCTGCCGCGTCAGCACTCGCTGCACGCCACCGGCACCGGCAGCATTACGAGCACTAATCCTTTTGCGCCGTTGCATCGGCAATACTCGCATCCGCTATCGGGAACTAATGCTAGCTATGTGCCGCCTGTTGCGCTACATCATCCACATCATATATCGCTGCCCGAGTCTATTTACGCCTCTGGTTCGCCGCCGCCAGCCGGCTCGTCACAGTACCTGGTCCCAGCACGCGTAGTCACATGCACAGCCTCGTCGAGTGAGACCGCGGCCACGCCGACAAACACAAGCGGTACCCCAGTTTCGGTGGTAACCTCGCCACCGGCAGGACTCAACAGCATCAGCAGCAATCGCCAGCCATTTTCGCCCACATATGGTGGCAGCACGGAACCGTCTCCCATTCCGGAACGACGCTCGCCGCACTCACCCCTCATAAATATTGGGGAACGCAGCAGTGCAAGGGTTGAGACAGCCAATGGCGGTGGTAATAAGTTGCGTAGCTCCAAGTCAACAGGTAACAGCAGCGGTCACCTGCATCCCAACCAGACCGCGACGACGAGTAGTTCATTTGAGCATTTGCCCACGCTGCGCGTGAAGAACGAGGAACTACAGCGCTCGGTGTCTTCTCCACAGGTACGTATATGCAGGTTAAAGGAATTCCGTTTAATATATGTCTTGTGCCCGCAGACCCAACGTGAAATAATTACCTTGGAGAATCCACGTTCTAGTCATTGTCCCGTCATTCGTCCTGGCCCAGCGCTGGGCTGCAATTTCTGTTGGAATACCATCGATGGACATGGTCGCATTTTGCGCCGCAAAACGAAATACCACTGTCCCGAGTGTCAAACGAATTTATGCATTGTGCCGTGCTTCCAGGAGTACCACGAGCGGCTCAACAATGAGGCAGCCGCCGCAAGCAACAGCAGCGAAAGTCAGGCCAACAACAGCGGCAGCAGCAGCAGCAACAAGGGAACCGGAGCTTCCACATACGCGTCCGCTGGCGGTGCTGCACGGCTCTACACGAAAACCGAATCGATATAAGCAGCGCCTTGGAATCGAGTGCTTTTTGCTTAACAAATTTGTATTTGTGACACGACGGGCCATTCCCGCAATGGGCGTCTGTCGAATTTGTTGTTTGTCGCCAGGAAGTGCGCTGCGGCGCCATCAAATGGCTCGCCCGTGGCGCACTTTTCATCCTGCATCGAAATTTTTCATTTGTCACAGTCCCACTGTCCTGGACCTGGACACGAACTGTTCACGCGCATTTTTGAAAGCGCAGCAAAAATTGTTTTGTATCTGCGCCACTTGGACGCAGCGATGTACATGTAGATGCATCCAAACTCGTACATAGATTCATATATGTCTGTTTGTAAATGCACGAGAAACATTTTAAACTAATTGTAAAGCGAGCTATGTAAATGTAAAGTAATTGCTACGTACATACGTATGTACATATATTCTTGTACACATTGGAGAAACGAAAATACATAAATCAAGAAATCAAGAAATAAAACATTGGCGGTGCAGCCAAATGGTGTGTACAGCCCAGATCAAGCTCGAATCAACAGTAATATATAAAAATCAAAATCAACTTCTATATGCATATATATGGAGTACTACAAACTTCCCGCCAAAAACAACTAGGATTGAGGGCGTAACCACGCCTTTAAGGCCAGGCACCGCTGCGCAGGCGCACGATTTTGAAATACGATATATACCTGGTAAACTGAATTTTGTGTTAAATAAATGTTTTGTAAGCGTATTAAGATAACCGATAAACATGCATATGGCATGCGTAAATTATAATCAAGCACAATCTGAATGTAATGTATTTTGTAAAAATGCGAATACGAATCAAAAAATCAAATTGAACAGTCAGTCAATATTTCTCTACTGTTCAGTTAAGCTTGGTTACATTTAGACAATATAGAAAGAGTACAAAATTAAGTTCAAGCAAACGGCAGACAGACAAGCGGAATGCCAAGTAAACCAAGTCAAAAATATTTAAATCAATTCAATTTTAGAAAGCAATTTCATGCAATTTCAATTTCATAAATACTGATTTATTTCTTGATGTTGTAATTCGTTGAAAATAATTGATAATCAGCTCATGAGAATTTAAGGAAAACAATTTTTGCACTCCTGATATACTATGTGTAAAAACATAAATGAATCAAAAGTTAAATTAACAAAAGTTTCCAAATTGTAAAAGCATATTTTATAGATCTTGACCCTATCTATTTTCTTACTACATATTCGAACCGGACTCCCAAACCTGAGTAAAAGATTAAACTCTATGTGGCGTGCCGTTGATTATCAATAAATAATTGTTTTTAAATTTACAATTTCTATATATCGCTTTTATTGATGTTTTCATCTAATTACCATTTAACAACACGCTGTAAACTTTCCATTTGCTTACTTCTTAGCTCCAGCGGCAGCCGCAGCTGGTTGCACCACTTCTGATGCTGGGTTTGCATTTCGGAAATTTGGGAACTGCTCCCACGGTGCCGATAGATCAAACTTTCTGAATTCCTGCGCCAACTCCAAGGGTTCGCAAACGACACGCTTTTTCTCATCATCATAGCGCAGCTCAACGTAGCCGGACAACGGAAAGTCGCGGCGCTGTGGATGGCCCTCGAAACCATAATCAGTGAGGATACGGCGTAAATCGGGGTGATTGGCAAAGAAGACACCATACATGTCCCAAATCTCACGCTCGTACCAATTGGCTGCCTTGTGAACCTCACAGACCGAATCTAGCGGGGTCAGCTCATCGGTGTAGGTCTTTACCCGGATGCGAGAATTAAAGCGCAGCGATAACAGGTTGTAAACAACCTCAAATCGATTTTTGCGGCACGGCACGTCCATGCCAGCTATGTCGACCAGATTAGTAAACTGCGCCTGATGATGATCCTTAAGGAACTGGAGCACCGGCACAACGCCCTCGGGCGCGATGAGTACCTCCAGCTCATCACCAGAAGTCAGCTGCACCTTCTGCACATATTTGGGCAGGCACTCGGCAACGTAACGACCAAATTCTGAGAGGCTGGTGCGAGCAGCTGCATCCGGCTTGCGTACAGTAGCTGCCGAATCGAAATACATATTAGTTCCCAGAAAAGATAAGCTAACCAATTCGAACTACTCACGCTTCTCTGATGCCTTGGCATCAACTGGAGCAGTACTTTGCATACGCAGGGCAGCTGTTCCAGCGGGTACCACTGTGTAATGAATATTTAAATGTTATGCCATAGATGTATGCCGTATATAGTTACCATGCTTGGCCGTCAAGGCGGCGGAAGCAATCCTGGTACCCAGATTTCTAATTAGTGCGGCCATTCCCTCGATTAAACCAAATATTTGAGTGCAAATCCAATAATCTACACAATATTTGACAATTTATGTAATAACAAAACGTCAAAGAGCCAGTGTTGAGTAAATTTTTGTTATCCAGTGAACTAGATCGTTCCAATTCTGTTCTCATACCGTTGGAATTTCTTTATGGAACAGTACAAGTAACTGACGCTACAAAATTAGCACCAGGCAATTTCCTGTTCCTAAAATAACACTGTTCTGTATAATATTTTAAATTATTAATTTATTGTGCATTGAAATTTCATTATAAAACAGAGCAATTAGGAAATTGGAATAAGCAAAACAGAACATAACAAACTAATTATGTTCAGAGCTTAGCTCAATTTGATGAACCAGCAAGCGCAAATTTAACGCATTCAGTATTGCCACCAATTGACAGTGTTTTTGAACACAACACTTGATTGTCAAGTTAATGCGGCATAATTATTTTAATTATAGGCACAATAATATATATCATTTTGCTTTTGATGTATTATCTAATTTAATTAATGACTTAAAGTTGATATATTTGAAATCGTAGTAACATCACGCTCCAATCACACTTGACAACCCTAACGCTCTCCATTTTCGTCGCGTTTCGCTTCGTGCTCTGGAATAGAATAGAATCCGATTTTTGGAAAATAAAACACAACAAACGAAAATGGTAATGGTTTTTGGAACAATTGCAAAAACAAACACCGACTAGCTAGTGCGATTTGTTTACTTTTGATTTTTTGCTCATCTTTCTTCAGAATCACCTAAAATGGATGGGGCACTCGTCCACAATAATGGATATACAGCGCGTTCTGCTGCATCAACAAAGCAACAATCAACAATGCGAGGTATTGCTCGTGGCCAAAGACGGCATCAGTGTGCGCGCCCATCTTTTCGTACTGAGTACGTGCAGCGATCTGATGCGCAACCTGCTTGTCGATTTACCCGCCGGCCAGGAGGCAACTGTCATCCTGCCAGACATTCGTGGTGAGCTGCTCGAGAGCATGTTGTCGTTTATTTACATGGGAGAGACGAGCTTACCCTCCGCCCTGCTCACCGAGTTTCTCGAGGCCATTAATCTATTGGGCATAAAGTCTGCCATTAGTTTCGAAACCAATCCCACAGCCATGACCACCTCAAATGTCATAAGCGGCGCTATGGCGGTCGAGGCAGCCAAGTCAATAAGCGGCTTACACATTGCGAATACAGCTCTTATGGAGGAGGAGGAAGAGGAAGATGCTAGTGCGGTGGTCGGTAAACTGGAGGTAGGCAATGCAGTGCTCGCAAACCCCCAGCAGCAGCACGAACAAGAAGGCCGAACCTTGGAATTCCTTGATGTGTATGGTGAACAGCCCAAAATAACGTATTCGATTGAGCACATGGGTGGCACAAGCAGCGGCAACCAATATATATTAACAGAGAACACGGGAACATTTACTATAACACAATCAGCATCGTCTGTGGCTAAATTAGGTGTGGCAGGAAGTTCCGCTGTGGTGGAATCTGTGGCGACTGGTGAGATGGGCGATGATGATGCAGAGGCTGAAAATACGGACGAACAGGACGAATCGGAGTCACAGTTAATTGAGGAGGAGTATGTTGGATCAGGTGATCCTTTAATAGAGATGACCGCAGATGCGGATGTTGATATGCACGAAGATGGAATGCATGAAGGCGAACCTGGAGACGAGGAGGAAGATGATGAATTGCTGGATGTGAAACCCCGAAAAGTTCATCTAGATATGAATATGATAAAAGCAAAGGCACGCCAACGGCCAATGTCGGCAAAGGTTACAAAAAAGACAATGACAAAACAGTATCAACAACACGCCGCACTTAAAAAAGAAAGCAAGGATGACATCAATGATGCCCTCGATCTGGCAGCAGCTGCCGTACTCCACGAAGGGCTCAGCCTGCAAAAGGCTGCCGATCGCTACGACATATCGAAAACCGTGCTGTGGCGACGAGTGCGCTCCAATCCGGCCTACATGAGGATAAAGCGTGAAAAGCCATCGCTTTCGGAAGCATACGAGCGCTTAAAAAACGGCGACTCGTTGAAAAGCATAAGCCAGGATCTGCATATACCCATGTCGACGCTGCACCGACATAAGGTGCGGCTGGCGGAACAGGGACGCCTGCCCGATTTTGTTGCTTGCCGGCGGCGGGATAGCACACCAAAGGATGAACTGCGCGACAAGCTTGCCAAAGCGGTGCATGCCTGCATAAACGGAGGCATGTCGCAAAATCATGCAGCAAATCTCTTCGAAATACCCAAAAGCACGCTCTGGCGGCACTTGCAGCGCCGCGTGACCGAGGCGGAGCGTAAAGTCAAGGAGGAACAGGAAGAGGATGAAGATGAGGATGTTCTTAATTAAAATATGCATGCATACATTCGTACACACACTCATGTACATTGCACTTAAACCTAGTTTTCATCTTGCGATTGAATCCCTGTAGAATTTTAACTAGCAATAAGTTACATTTGTCATTAAAATTGTTCACATAATCTATCTTATAGATTGACCATACCCACCCAGCCGGTAGCCCTTATTACCCAAACGGCTTTTGACTAAACCGAAGTCGCAATTTCACCATGAGTACAATTTAAGATTTGAACACGACACACTCCCATCGCTATCGATACTTGTGCTCTGTTATCGATACCGCAATGACTGCCGGCTTATTAAACCGATACGAGATCCTTGTCTACTTTAGTGTTTATATCGTTTATATTGTTATTGGACTATATAAGATCTATGCGCTGCGAGATCGCATCCTAAACACGTCGGAGTTTCAGTTCGCCGAGGGCTGGAGCCTGCTGCAACGCCCTGATGTGGTTCGGGTGCGCGACGATAGCAATGACGAATTGGAGTACTTTGCTGATTTCATTGCAAAATTCTGGCCCTACTACCTGTTGCATGCGGTCGTGAGTGGCATCTCGCGCTGCAAGTGGCCCAACCTGCGTCGACATGGACATATTGCAGTCTGCACACTGGCGATCGGTCTTAACATGCACTGGACATCGCTGGCAATGTTTGCCACTCTGCTGTTCAGCTATTATCTTGTGGCGCAACTGGGACGGTCAAAGCTTCTGACCTGGCTGCTGACCGCTGCCTGGATTGTGGTCATCAACGTGGCCAAGAACAGCCAATGGTGGCTGGGCACGGTGGGCTATGCAGAGTATGCCGTTGTGATAGTCACCCTCTCCTGGAGCTTATTGCGCGGCTGCAGCTACTCGTTTACGGGCACTGGCAATATTCCTGACTACCTGGCCTACACCATGTACTTTCCCTGCCTCACCTATGGACCGTTCATTAGCTATGAGCGTTTCAATCAACAGTCCACGGCTGGAGATGTGTCATCCGCACAGCAGTGTTGGAGATTTTTGGTGGCCCTCCTGCGTGTCGTCTTCTGGTGGCTGATGATGCAGTGGGCCCTGCACTACTTCTACATACACTACATGACGCGGGATGTGCGTGCTGTGGCCATGATGGATTCGGTTTTCTGGCAGCATGCTGCAGGCTATTTCATGGGTCAGTTCTTTTTTATATTCTACGTGATCACGTATGGACTTGGCATTGCGTTTGCCGAGCACGACGGCATAGCGGCACCAAAGCGACCACGCTGCATCGGACGCATTCACTTCTACTCCGACATGTGGAAGTATTTTGACGAGGGCCTCTACGAGTTCCTCTTTAAACACATTTACGCTGAACTGTGCGGCAGAAAGTCGTCCGCAGCAGCCAAGCTCTGCGCAACTGCGCTTACCTTTGCATTTGTGTTCATTTGGCATGGCTGCTACACCTATGTGCTTATCTGGAGTGTGCTCAATTTTGTGTGCCTGGCAGCGGAGAAGATCTACAAGACATTCGTGTCAAAGCCCGCCTTTCAAAGATGGTCGCTTCAGCACTTTGGCTCCGCCGGCGCGCAACGTTTGCATGCCCTGCTGGCCACACAGCTCTTTATACCCGCCGCCTTTTCCAATGTGTACTTCATAGCCGGACAGGAAATCGGCGGATTTCTGATGCGCGGCGCCTACTTAAGTGGAGTAGGCAACTATTTGGCACTTAGCTTTTGCAGCTACTGCTTCTTCCAATGCTCAGAACTGCTGTTGACCAGAACTGGCAAGGACAAGCTAAAAACAACCTAAACCAATAACAGATGACATACTTGCACAAAAATAGATGTAAAAGACTGGAAAACTATTATTTTGTATATGATTAATGTGAAATAAGTCTGAAAGAGAACCATAAACCAGGTAAAGTCTGTTAAGATTCATATATTAGAAATCTGTATTTTATTAGAGTGCTCAGTCGGCAGCTCCGTTGGTTTCCTGCCAATCCAGCCACCTGGTTTGCGTGCAAGTAGACTGAAAGTTCTCCAACAACTCGTCCAGCATTATTTCATCGCAAGTTTGGGTGTGCTGCGTATTGTACAGGCCATCGGGCCAATGCGTTTGGGTTTGTATATGCGACAGGCCGAGCTCCTCGAACAGCTCATCGCAAGTCTGGGTGTGCATGTGCGCGGAGTTTTGTGGCCCAAACATCGTTTCCTGTTGCTGGTAAGCGGCATAGCTTTCACTTGTTGCATTTACTCCCTGCTGTTGCACCTCTGTCTCCGTCTCCAGGTCAAGCTCCGTCATTGTGCCTTGATGCTGCCTATTGTCGAGCGTTTGGGTTTGTATGTTGCGTATCAGGGGCACCAGCACTTCATTATTCATGTCGATCCCATCAAGGTCCACATCGTCGGTCTGAGTTTCCATGTCGCGCAAAAGTAGCTCAACCTCCTCAACTGTAAAATTCGGCATGGACAACTCATTCGCGGCATTGGCGCGCTCCTTCAGAGCCACATCTATTGCTGTTTGTATAGCAACGTCCATGTCGACGCTATCCTCAGTCTGTGTTGAGGTTTGTAGGGCATAGGGAACCTCAATTTCCGGCAAGCAATAATATGATGGTTGCATAGGCGAGTCCATTGCGGGCACATGTTCCATGGCGGGTAGATTTATGGTATTATCAGTAAGCGTTTCCGCTGTGCTTGCGGATTGATGTTCCTCATTAGACAAGTTTTTCTGCAACTTTTTCCATGACTTCAAAGAAGGTATTGCTAATTTCGAGGACAAGGATGGTGCTTCCTTGGCCACATCACTGCTGTTGGATGTGTCCAGGTGGTTCTTGCGACGCATGTGGGTCTGGAGGCTCGCCTTGCTTGAGTATGTGAGCTCGCATGCGGGACATGGGTAAACAGAGCAGCACTGATGCTTCTCTAAATGTCGCGCAAGTAAAAATGTTTCGTTACATTCGTTGCATTTGAACTCCTTGGCCATGTGGGTTTTCTGGTAGTGTTGCCGCAGGAATCGGAGATTCGCAAAGCCGCGGCCGCCCTTACACTGAGCATGATAAATGCATTTCTCCACTGGACAGTGATACGCTGATATGGCCATATCGTTCTTTATTGCTGTCAGCTTGTGTCGACGCCGTAGATGCAGGTAATAGTGACTTTGATTGCCAAATACCTGATCGCTGCAGTGCTCGCAGCGATACTGGCGCACCGGCAGCAGCTCTTTAATATCGGGCGTGTGTTTACATGACATGGACGCGACAAAAGCATTTGTTCCAAGCCCAGAAAAATTGCAATAACAAAAACATATGGTCAGGATTGCCACAGTATCAAAACTTGTGTGTTATCGGATGCGAGACATTTCTTTTTTCTGTATTGACATCTGCAGTTAAAAGAATGCAGTTAATTCTCCCATCTACCCACTAATAAATAGAAAGCAATGCGGCTTATGTATATAAAAATGAATATATTACTTTTTATAAATATGGACCACAAATTACCGCCAATATATCGCTGCTGTGCCAGCCCTCAACTTTATATATCGATAGTTCAATTTTTCGATAGGTGTGCGCATATTTTGCATCACTAGTTAGCGTGCTGCCGTTGTCGTGTTGTGCGAAAGTTTGCTCGTTTTAATAAATTATTAAGGTAAACCTAACGAAAATTTGCGTAAACTAAAAAATGTATATATGCAACCATTGTAATGAGGGCAAGTAGTCTCGTTATGAAGGTCGCGAGTGTTCAATAACTTTCCGCCACTGCAAAATGAATTGTGTGAATATTCCTATATAATATACATATGCCTATTTACATGCATGTGTATGGTATTTGTATGTGCGTATGTTTAAACAAATACTTGTGTAGAACTTTTTTCATGTGCTGGATTCTATAGATACGCGTAACGTAGAGTGTGTGTTTTATTTTCTATTTCGGTACCGTTTTATTGAGGGAACTGTTCGTTTATTTATTATGATTTCGTTTTTAATTTTCGTCTCGTAATAAAAGTGGCAGCGTTACCAACACATTCGCAACGCTTGATGCTGGTATATGTACATACACATGCACATGTATATAATTTTGACTTTTCACAGCAAAAAGTGAAATTCGCTACAAGTTTACTTGAGGCTTTAACTAAACGTATGTACATAACAATATAAGCATAGATAGCTTCCAAAATTACATCATATCTAGATATTTCTGATATATACACCTGTTTGCCTATGTATTGCTAAAAATATGTTTGCTGCACAGCAGCATAAACACACCTATATTCATATACATACGTATACTCTTGCTATACTCTCCGATTATAGCCCGACTACGTCATCTTCGAGGCAGTCGCAACATCTGTTTAGTTCAAGCGCTTTACTCTGCCCTCCAATGTCTGACATTTCTGTTGTTTCTTAAATGAAATATTTAGATAGATTTATGCCTGTCATGATTTATATACATTTATAACTTGAAGGGAGCTCAAAAGCTTTGCTTGTAATGCTTCTTTTTACCTAATTTGCGTGTAGCCCTCATCATGGGACTAGAGAATTAGTTATTTCCATGGCTATATACACACAAACTAACATATATACATACATACATGTATAACTGTTATTGCACAATTGCACGCCATGTGTAATTGTGTGCATCATTTGGAAAACTAAAGGATTATTTCGCTGACTTAAACTATTCTAGGATGACGCAGGCAGTTTTAAAGAGCTTCAATTGTTATTTTGATGTAAAAGTGTTTGTATGTGTGCGTTTATTCGTCTACTTGATTTATGCAGTGTTTTTAACTTGGCTAGTTTCTAGCTAAATGTGGCTATTTTCAGCGTTCAGCCGGAAACAGCTGAAATTTTAAACCGATTAAGTTATTGTTAAGCAACACTGGCTGGTTTATTAATGACGTCACAGTTGCGAAATGAGGGCAATAAATGCTTGTTAGAAACTTCTGCTATAAATAGAATTATATTGGCTGGCCTTTGTCGTAATTATGGGTTAATTTAGAGTCAATAACAAAAGAATAAACAAAGCAAAGTCAAGCCTAACAAAACTCAAATTGCGAA